ACCAAATTTGTCCATGGTTCCAGTCTCTCTTCCGACGTATGCCTCGTTCTCCTGGATCGAACTATTGAGGCTGACTTGAGATCCAAAGTCCCCTTGCCCCTCTTCATCCTCTTCCTCCTGGGATTCACCGTCGTTTCCTGCTCCTCCTCCCATGCTGAATGGAAAGATGTTTCCGAAGGTGTTCTTCATTCTTTCTGAGAATGATGATGACGTTGTTTGTTTCCCAGTTCCGCCTGCCATCATAGTGTTGTCTGTCGGAGATCTTCTAGTTGCCGTTACTTCAGTTGAGATGTCGGACAGTTCCGACATCTCCTCTCGATCCAATGTCCCGGTGGAAGTGGCAAAATCATGGCCTTGTTCTACCGGAGTAGATTCACTAGCCAGCCTTCTGCCTCTCCCTTCCAGTCCATTTACTTCCTGGTTGTCGTTCATGGTATGGTCCGTATTGACCTCCACTTCTAACAGTTCTTTTCGCTCTTCTGAGGTCTTCTGACTTCTCGTTTCAACCATTCTGCCTGAAACCGTCTCCCCTTTATCGGACCGGGATCGCTTGATCCAATCCACAAAAGGATCGGTCATCGTTTTTCTTTGCTTTTCAGGTATGAATTTCCTAGAGCTATTACCTCGTTTTGGTATCCTTGACTTGTCTAGACTCATTCTCTATTTGTCACTTATTAATGCCTATACTTAACCCGATTGCTAGATACCTTATAGTTTTGTTAACAATAATAATGACACAACACAATAATTTTCACAAGATTCTATTAAATAGTGACCACGAATCCCTGTATGTTATCAGAGTACAGTTTGTATAAAATTTATTCACACTAACCGATTATCGGTGGTAAGACTTGAAAACTAGCACAATATGATGTTATCAGTCAATTTAAAAGATAGTGTACTCACTACCCAATCAAGCACAGTTTATGTTGATTTAAAAAAAAAAAAAAAAAAAAATATATATATTTAGTGTCAAACTATGGGAAAAGTGAAAATATATTTAACTCTATGAAAAAAACGTATGTGTGATGTACTCTTAGTCGGTCGCAGTACAATAGTCGAACCTGTCTTTTAAAGAAAAAGCTTTCCCTGCTCAGTGTTGCACCAAACAGACAAAACTTTGAAGGCAGTAATTTTCTCAAGTGGGCGGCTATTGCACCCACCGAGTACTGTGTTACCTATCTGCCTTCGGACTGCCCGAGCTAGACCTACTAAAATCCTCAGGGCAGTCACTTTTCCCAAAAACGTATTATGTTACAATCCACACCAATGAATCACGCTCTTTTTAATGTAGACTTAGTGTCGCGAATATCCGAGTTCGGATCTGTTTTGTTTTGGTCTGGTTCTTATTGAAAGGCAAGTTACCAGTGCAGTCACTGATAGCTAGCCTGTGTGCTAATAACCTAATACCTCTCACTTTTTAGTCTTTCTTTCGTCCACCTAAGTTCTTTAATAAAATAATACCCCTCCGGATTGGCAGAATCTAGACCCCTCCGGATTGGGACCCCTCTGAGTTAGTTAATATAAGACCCCTCCGGATTTGGACCCCTCCGAATTAGCAACTATAAGACCCCTCCGGATTCGGAACCCTCTTAACTTGAAAAAAAAAAATTTGACCCTTCCGGATTGGGAACCCTCCGGTTTTGTAAAAGTAGCTTTTCGGAGATTTCTTACTTTCAACCTATACCCCTCCGGATACGTTCTCCGATGCAATTTTGCTCTTTCAATTAACTAGGAAGGGTATGTGCTACTTTCCTAGACCCTTCCGGATTGAAGTTAAGCCTCTTATCTGACAATTCACACTAACGGTGAAGGGTCTTGTCGCTCGCCTAACTTCGGCTCGATTAAGGTTTTCCTGTGCCTTTAGCCTTCCCTTTTCGTCTAGCACAGCCTATAGTTACTTTATTCAACCGCTATTACCTTTTGGTAGGGTTATAAGGGCTTTTCTAAAAAAATTTTGTAAAACGTGAAGGGTGTACCCTTCCAAACTGAGGAATTTGCTAAAAACAATCTCAAAAATTTTTCACGCTTACTTTTCTGAAAAACTTTTGTCCCTATCAGTAAGCTCAGCTAATTTCTGATCTATTGGTACCAAGATCAACTCGATATGCCCAGTAGCTCCAAAGTTATTAACCAAAACGTCTTTTTCCTAAACTCTAAAAAATTTTTCTCTTATAGGTTCCGCCTAACTTTTTCCGCAAATCAGGTCCTTTCGACCTAAAAATTATTGATCCGAGCTCAGAAGGCCTATACTCTTCTAGTTCAATGCAAAAGACCCGATCTAAAACGCTTTTGCTGAAAAATTTTGCGAAAAATTATGCTACCTGTACCCCTCCGGATTGACGAATCCACCAAATCAAAGACGTTAAGTTCGATTTCTCTGGAACCCGGAAAGCTTTCGGGTAGCGGGTTTTAAAACTTGTAGATTCACTAGTGGACGTTGTCCGAACAACTATTTTTACTGTTTTAACTCAAAAATTTCAAAAAATTTTCTAAATTTATAGTGTTTCTGTTTCTCAAAAATCACGAAAATTCGGTTTTTTGGTTCCAAAATAGTTCCAACCACTTCCGAACTAAACTTAACCGGTTCTATCTATTATGGTAGTGCAATTACGATGTAACACACTACTTTAGCGCTTTTTTCCGTTTCAAAAATTATCGATATCTCAAAAATCGCGATTTGTGGGGGGATCAAAATATCGCTATTTTGACCCTAAAAACCGGTCTGTTTTCGTTGTTTTTCACTGAAAAACGATATAAGACTATTAATATAGGCTCTATAAGTAATAATAATAGTAATACTATACCCTTCTGGGTTTGTTCAATATCCGAATTAAGGTGCTTAACTCAGATATTCGCAGTTCGGTGAAGGGTCACTACAGTGCAGCACTGTCGAGCACCCCACAGATTACTATCTTAATTTTTGTACCAAAAGGGATACAAAACTTGTTAACGATACCCTACAGTCGATTGTTGTTGTCGTTGAGCCTCTTCTTGTTGCTCCTTGTACTGCTTGCCGCATCAGTCTTCTCCCAAGACCCTTCCGAATTGAGCGCAAATCAGCTGACCCTTCCGGATTGAGCGCAATTTATCAATAACGTGCTTAAATGCTCAAATAACCCTACAGTACAAGCCTCACTAACGGGCTACAAAACTGATCGTAACGATTTTGACTGATATAAATGCCTGTAACAACAATATATCTATCAACAACAAACGGGGGGGTCGGATCACATCTTGTCTGGGGGGATGATTTCTACTGATTTTTTACTTTTTTACTGTTTTTGGTTTTTTCGTATATTTTTTTAATGTTTTTTATTTTTCTCGGGTACTATACTACTTTTTGTTTGGTTTTATATATATCTTTAAGTGTTTTTGGTCACAAACCATTCAGGAGATGACGGGACCGCGAATCCCCCCACCCTTCCTGGTTCGTGAATTTTCGGTCTTAACTAGGTTAAAAAACTATTCACGGTAATCCGGAAGGCTTCCGCGTTCCGAACTACCCTTCCGCCCCGGCGGTTTAGGGCTATTAAGGGCGTTAATGTGAGCATCCGCTCGGCGCGGAGTGCTCGTTAACGGTTCCGCCGGTCATGATGTTAAAAAGAATAACATTGATGTTAAAAGAATAATGTTGTTCTCTTTTTCTTTCTTGTTTTAGCCAAAATGGCCGTTTCTGACGTTTCTCAGAAATATGACGTCATAATTCGAATTTTTGAATTCTTAAAATACCAGAATATTCCAGTCCTCACCGTTTGGCCAATCGTTCCAATAACGTTCTTAATTCTTAATAATCGCCAATCCGGAAGGCTCGCTGCTAAAAATTCGAATTCTGCAGAGATTGCATTTTTTACATTCTGGTCGAATGTCACAGGGGGATTGCATTCATGCTTGTCGTTAGCTGAATGACATTGGGAGGTGCAGCGATGACAACGGAAATCGTCATAGTGATCACTGCTGCGGGCTAGGCCGCTGCATTTTACATGCATGTAGCCCGGGCATGTGAAGCACCAAACACCTCCGCCTCGCAGGCTGCTTTTACAAATAAAGCAGTGTAGTTGAGTAGCCATTTTAGGAAGGACGGCGGTGTCAAGTTAGCGAGAGAATGTATAGATTAAATTTGCGAGAAATTTTGTAAAGAAATCATTACCGTAGAACGAGAAATGGATGCCATCACGGCAGAACATTTGAGGGGTTAGATTTAGGTTGAGGTTAGGCGAAACAATAAGTGTATGGGGGTGTACAAATCTATTTATCAAATTAAACAGCACATGATTATGAATATAAATTTTGCGGTTTACTTCGGAATTATTGCAGTTCTGAATTGTTTTGAAGATGATCAGTGTGCTGGGCTGAAACTTATTAGTGACGAGGTTAATCAAGTTTTTCCACTGCTGTTCTAATTCTTGTGGATGCAGCCTGTTGTCATTGTATCCAGCAACTATTGTTACTGTATTTAGGCGCTTTGGTCTGTATTGTAAAACTGTTTCAAACAGATCATGAAGCGTTGCGCCGCGGTTGGAGTGAATTGTTGATTTTACTAGAGCTGGTTTGGTATATTTGGTCCTTGAAGTCCCGATAACTAGTTTCTGTGAGAACTCAGGGATGCGTCTTGCCTGGAATCGCGGCATCAACCTGGAACACAGACAACTGGGGCGAGAAAGGAAGCTCTTTGGGGTGATTTATGAATACTTTCACTTAGGGTTTAAAATTGCTGAGGCAAAGGCGATGAAAAAAAAAAGGAGTGTTACAACCTGACGTCGATTTGGAGGTCGATTCACCAGCTCACTCCTTGCGTCTAGTTGCGCCAGGGAAACTTCACTCGCCTACGGCTGGGACGGCGAGATTTGGTAAGATAACCAGAATGTTGAAGTGGTGGGTAACAAGCACCCAGGCTTAAGTTTGATTGTGTATCCGACAGATCAGCGTAATTTTTACTTGTTGCTGGATTGGCGGGTGGGGCCCTTTTCTGAGTGAGTTGCTATTGTAATTTCAGAGATTAAAATGAGCTCTGGTGATCAGCCTCCTCCTGCGTATTATCCAGGTTATCCGTCAGCTCCGATTTCGGCGCAGCCAGGTACAAACCAGCCACCACCAGGATACGCGCCAGTAAGAGATTATTTTTACATCCAAAAATAGAAAGACATACTGTTCGCGAAATAGAGCTGCGAAATAATAGCATTTGATTTCTTAGAACAATTTTTGTTTAAGAACGTTTAATTCTCAATATTGGCAATGCATTTCCGTTTCTAACAAAATATCACCTATGGATGATTAAAATATAAATGATGTGAACAAATCAGAAAAATAAAGTTTGGAGCCCATTATTCCGTATAATTGCCCTTTTACGCTATGGCCTGGGGTTCGAGTCGTGGCCGGATCTTGTTTTTTTTCAGTATCAAGAAAATCGAAAATAAAATTTCGACAAAATGAATTGATGGTTTTTCGTTTGTTCGCTCAGGTTTTGTCGGCTAAATTGTTGTTGCAAGTGCAAGTTTTGTTCATTCTAGTTTCAAGGGGGACTTGAAAGATTTTCAAAAAAGTTTTCAGAAAATCTTTTTTTTTCGGTTCAGTTGGTGACTGCTCAAAGATGGTCGGCTTAGTTGCCACATCACTGGTTTTTTGCTTTGAGCAATTTTCAATGTAGTTGCAAGTGCTGTTCATTCTAGTTTCAAGTCTGAGATTTTGGTTTCATTAGGTAGAAAACACGTTTTAACAGGTGGAAAACAGGTAGGTTGTTGGAAGTTCTCTTGCATAAGCGGTTACGCCCAAATACTTTACATACAAAGTTATGACCCTCGGAAAATTAGATTTTTTGAGTATTTTTTGAAATTTTTTGAATTTTGTCAAAAACTGCCCTCCCGAATCTGAGATATTAGTTTGAGTGTGAAGAACGGCTTGTGGGAAGCGCCACTGTATAAGCGGTTACGCCCAATTTTTCTCACACGAAAAATTATTACCCTTGGAAAAGTCAAATTTTTGATTTTTTTTACCGTTTTTGAAACTTGACTTCTCTCGAAAACTACCTACGCAAATCTAATGAGCAACGTTTTTATCATCTTTCAACCTAACAAGCTCTTGTAATCGCTTCATTTAAAAAAACTGAAGTAATTGTTGGAATTGACAGATTTTGAAGTCATTAAATTGGGATTTACTTTTCTTTGCTGTAGGTCTGTTTTTGAAAATACCCTTGTCCTTCCTCATTAATACAAAAATTTCAAAAGTTATTAAATAGGTATGTCCAGCTTTAGCTGGCCTCTAATTCTCGTTCGGTAAAAGTAAGTATTATGAAAATATATGGGATCGGGTGTTTTTTTAAAATTTTTTGAGACGCTTTGGAAAATTTTAGTTTTTCTCAAAAAGGACTATACCGATTTTCAAAAGACTAGTACCGATGGGAATTCCGGCCAATCCCCTGTGTGCCTGCATACTCCTCCAGTCTCTTTAGTTGAGCAAAATTTAGAACAAATATATGCACTAAAACTACAGTAGCAAAATCTATCTATCTACACTATATTTAAATGCTAGTGACAGCTATCCCATGTTTAAGCTTAATAATTTTGCATGTTTAACAAAAGAATTTTTTCATGTTTAAGCTATATCATATATTGCAATGCTTAAAAAAATTTTTCAATTAGTTTTCCTCAAGGTCATTATTTTTTCTGTAATTTTTTTTCACGGCCAAATTAAGTCTGTCTGTCTGTCTGAATACCTGGTTTTTTAATTAGTTCGATTGTCTGTCTATCCGTCTCCTAATTTTTAAACTTTGAATGTGTTTTTGACGATTTAGTTCAAGTAGTACAACTGTCAAATGGTTGTCTCCAATCTCTTTTTATCTTTATCTTGGTTTCTTTCTTTCTATCTATTTCTATCTTTTTTTCTATCTGTTTTTTCGATCCTTTTTTCTCTGTTTTTTTATCCATTTTTTCTATCTTTTTTTTTCTACATATTTTTTTTCTTTTCTTTTTCTATCTTTTTTCTATTTTTTTTCAATCTTTAATTTCTTTCTATCTTTTTTTTCGCAGTTTGAATTCAGAGGTTATTCCACCGAGTTTTAAAACAGCAGCCCAATAGTGGGATGCTGTCAGGGTTCACAAAATGGTTGCGAATTTGGCCTCCAATTACGAAAGCTCAAATTTTTCCGATAACTTAAATTACAAAACAATTTACAAAACTTGAAAATCCTAAACCTGTAGTTGGGTGATGTCAGAGTACTCTCAAGGATTGCATATCTTTATCCATATGAGACGACTCAAACCCTTTCAGTTTTCGAGATATCACGTTTTTTGTGATTTTTCAAAAAAAATTTCAAAAAAATTAAGTTATTTTTTTTCTTCAAAATTTGAAATTTTTTACCCTATATTTGGGTGCTGTCAGGATACTCTAGAGGGCTGCGACTCTTGCCTCCAAATGTGACTGCTCAAATATTTTTAGTTTTCGAGATATGACGTTTTTTGTGATTTAAAAAAAATCGAAAAAATTTAATTTTTTTTCTTCAATTTTGAAATTCGCAACCCTGTAGTTGGGGGCTATCGGAGTGCTCTCAGGGGACTGCGAACCTTGCCTTCAATTATGACTGCTCAAGTTGCTGTAGTTTTCGAGATATGACGTTTTTTGTGATTTTTTCAAAAATTTCCAGAAAACTTAACGAAATTTTTTTCTTCAAAATTTGAAATTCCCAACCCTGTAGTTAAGGGCTATCAGAGTACTCTCAGGGGGTTGCGAGTCTTGCCTCCAATTATGGCTGCTCGAATTACTGTAGTTTTTGAGATATGACGTTTTTTGTGATTTTTCAAAAATCTCCAGAAAACTTAACGAAATTTTTTTCTTCAAAGTTTGAAATTCCCAACCCTGTAGTTAAGGGTTATCAGAGTACTATCAGGGGTTTGCGAACCTTGCCTTCAATATGACTGCTGAAATTCTTGTAGTTTTTGAGATATGACGTTTTTTGTGATTTTTCAAAAATTTGCAAAAAACTTAACGAAATTTTTTTCTTCAAAGTTTGAAAATCCCAACCAATTATGAATGCTCAAATCTTTGTGGTTTTCCAGATCTGACGTTTTTGTGATTTTGTCAAAGTTTTTCAGAAAACGAAATTTTAATTTTTTTCAAATTTGAAATTTCTAACCCTGTAACTCATCCAATTATGAATGCTATCTTTGTGGTTTTCCAGATATGACGTTTTTGTGATTTTGTCAGTTTTTCAGAAAACGAAACTTTTATTTTTCCAATTATGACTGCTCAAATCTTTGTGGTTTTCCAGATATGACGTTTTGGTGATTTTCTCAAAGTTTTTCAGAAAACGAAACTTCTATTTTTTCAAATTTGAAATTTCTAACCCTGTAACTCATCCAATTGACTGCTCAAATCTTTGTGGTTTTCCAGATATGACGTTTCTGTGATTTTGTCTAAGTTTTTCAGAAAACGAAACTTTGATTTTTTAAATTTGAAATTTCTAACCCTGTAGTTGGGTGATGTCTAGATACTCATAGGGTTTACAAATCTTGCCTCCAAACATGACTGATTAAATCCTTTTAGTTTTCGAGATATGAGGGTTTTTTTCTATGATTTTTCCAAAATTTTCAATTAACTTAGGTTTAGAAAAATTATCAAATTTTAAATATCCCAACCCTGTAATTGGGTGCAGCCAGGGTACTCTTAGAAAATTGGAATTAGAAAAATTTAGAAAATATCAAATTACCAGCCATTTAATTGGGTGCTGTCAGAGTACACTAAAAGCCTGCATATGTGGTTTCCAATGTATGCGGTTTTTCATGAGTTGTCAAAAATTCGAAGCACCGGAGGTAGGGCCGGGCGATTTACCGAACCGAAAACCGAACCGACTCTTGTAAAACCGAAATCGAACCGACTGAAAATAAAAACCGAGCCGGTTTCGGTTTATTTACATAGCTAATTGAGCTGCTCCATTCACTGTTATTCTCTCTTATTTGACTCAATTGCCTTAACGGTCATCACTTCTGTGTGAAAATGCAGAAAAACTCATTAAACTGAAAAACAATCAAGTTTCAGACTAAATGTTTTCTTTAGAAAAAAAAACCGAAACCGAACCGAAAACCGAGATATTAGTGAAAAAACCGAACCGAAACCGACCGACGGAGAAATTGGCGAACCGCCGGGCTCTAACCGGAGGTGCGTTACACGCTAGCTATATATTTAAATGCGGGCTTCACTATCTCGCCATGTTTAAGCGTTTTCAACGTATTGTTTTGCATGTTTAAGCTATATCGTATATTGCAATGGCTAAGATTTTTCCGAGTTTGAATTCAGTGTATATTTCACCACGTTTGAACTTAGTAACCCAATATTGGGATGCTGTCAGGACTTCCCCAGGTGTTGCAATCTTGGCCTCCATATATGAATAACCAGATTCTTTTAGTTTAGGAGATACGGCAATTTTCGAGGTTTTTCAAAAATCTCTAGAAACCTTAAATTTTGAAAATTTTACCAAATTTGAAAGGGTGCCGGACATCAAGCCGATGGGACTTCAAGCCGAATTGTAAAATTAGGGACTTCAAGCCGAATAATTCCTTATAAAGTCGTGAAATATGAACAATTTGAATTTTTTTTTGAAGAATTTCTGAATTTCATGATCTTTCTTCACTAGTTATTGGCGTTTGCATATAATTTAAGCCTCCAAATGATGTTCCGGAAAGTTGAAAAGTAAAATATGGTTGAAGGCATTTTCCATGTTTATAATTTATGCATTTAAAAAACCGGCTGATGTTATAAACGGACGCGAATCACAAGTGGTGCATTGTCATGAATAACGCTTACTAAGGACTAAACTTGCCAAAATTTTAGAAAAGCAACATTTTGCAGATGATAAAATAGCGTTTTGTGGTGCTTGTAAAGTTTTAATTTGGGCTTGAAGTCCCTTCGGCTTGAAGTCCAGTCGGCTTGTTGTCCTAGACCCAATTTAAAATTCTCATCACTGTAGTTGGGTGCTGCCAGGGTACTCTGAGGGGTTGCGAATCTTGCCTCCAAATGTCAGTTCTCAATTCATGATAGTTTTCGAGATATGACGTTTATAATGATTTTTTCAAAAATTTTCCAAAAACTTAGATTTAAAAATTAAAAAAGTTTGAAAGTCTCAATCCTGTAGTGTGAAACTGTGAGGACACTCTGAGGGATTGCGTAACTTGCCTCCAAATATGATTGCTCGAGTTTTTGTAGTTTGCGAGATATGACGTTTTTTGTGACTTTTTCAAAAAACTTTCACAAAAATCAAATTAAATTTTTTTTTTGCTAAACTTGAAATTCTCATTTTTGTAGTGGGGGTAATCAGAGTACTCTCATGGATTGCGAATCTTTCGTCCAAATATGACTGCTCAAATCTTTGTAGTTTTCGAGATATGACGTGTTTTATTTTTATTTTTTTCAGAAAACTTAGATTTTAAAAACTTTAAAATTTAATATAAAAATATATAATTTTAAAAAAGTATTGAAAATCTAAACTTTGTAGTCGGGTACTGTTAGGGTATTCTCAGGAGTTTCATTTTGCAGATTTTGCATCCGATTGCGACTGCTCAAATGCTTTTAGTTTCCAAGATGTGACGTTTGTAATGTCTTTTTTTTTAAATGTTCAAAGAACTTAGAAATAAAAATTTCAAGTTCCTATCTCCATATTGAGACTTTGTCAGGGCAGTGCTAGGGATTGCGATTTTTTTTCTGCAACTATGAGTGGTTAAATTCTGTTAGTTATCGAGAGGACATTTTTTTGTAATTTTCTTTTCAAAAAGTTTTTCAGAAAACTTAAATTTAATTTTTTTCTTCAAACTTTGGAATTCCTTATCTGATGCCAGAGGCTGTCAAAGCACTCTCAGGGGTTGCAAGTTTTGCCTTCAAATATGAGTGCTCAAATTTTTGTAGTTCTGGAGATATGTCACTTTTAAAAAAAATAGAGAATTTCAATTTGAAGTTCCTCAAATTTTGAAGTTCCCAACCCTGTAGTTGGGTGCTGTGATTACTCTCAGAAGTTGCAAATCTTGGGTGCAAATGCGACTGCTCCTTTGCTTTTAGTTTCCGAGAAATGGCATTTTCTGTCATTTTGAAAATTTTCAACGAACGTAGATATTAAAAAAATTCACAAAATTGTATGGTTTTTCAAATTTTGAAATAAAAAAACTTAAATAACTTATCAAAGTTTGAAATTGGGTGCTGTCAGAGTACATTCAAAGGATGCAAATATTATTTCTTATATCTGCGGTTTTGTGAGTTATCATAAATTCGAAGCACCGAAGGTGCGTTACACGCTAGTTTAGATTAAGTATATGCAAATTCAATGCTGTCTATTGAAAAGCAGTTGAGCTGGTCTGAGCAGCGGATCTTTTCAGATCAAAAATTAATCCTTTGCCGCGGTGCGGAAATGTAAATCATTTATCGGAAATGAGACGAGAATTGAACAGCGAGAATTCATTTTTTAAATTCAAGATGAAAGACAGGTTATTCAGAGAAGCAGTGGTTGACAATTAATGTTTTTGAGCTCGTTGATTAATTTTATAATTAGCTGTCGGTAACCTCAATGCATTCGCAAAACTTTTTGTTGTTGTTAGTGAGATAACTGAAATGTGTTACTAATTTATATCTATACCTCACTAACGAACGAAAAGCTTCTGCGAATGCATTTAGGATACCGACGGCTAATTATAGAATAATTCAACAAGCTAAAAAAATATGACAACCACTGTTCAACTGTTTCTTTACCTCATTTTGTTTCACCTGACCTTGAAAAGGAAATTTTTTGCCGGTTAAATTTCGATATTTACAACATCTTTTTGACAACATTTTGAAAAACTAAAAGAGCTCTACACTAGTGAATTGCAATATAATCCTATATACACGCATACAATTACATTGAGCGAATACCGTTTTCATTAATGGATATGAAAGTTTGTGTTTACTTGGTGTGTTTTTAAGATTTTTAAGTGTTTTTTCTGCTTCATAACGGAGATTCTTGTATGCGTCCGATAATTTACGATTTTGGCAACATCAAGTTAATCATTTGAAGTTCGTTTTTGTTTAGCCTCAGTATGGCGTGGGATACGACACTAAAGGTGCGGCACCACCCCCTGCTCCTCCAAATGTGGCCCCATATCCGGGCCAAAGTCAGCCTCATGCTACTACCGTAAATGTGGCAGTGATGTCTCCGAACGCTTACGGCGTGAACAGAAGCCTGGGCTCCTACTCTGCACAGGTCAATTGTCAACACTGTCACGCATATGTAAGTCTTATCACTTCATATTGGATGGATCAGTTGGACCTTATTTATAGTATAGATGTAAAGCGTAGTTCGGATGTAACAAATCCTCAATTCATATAAACTCTTGAGCGATGTTGTCTCTTGAGCACAATTGTGAAGCGACGCAAAGTCATGAGTTGAAAAGAAGTTTTCGAAGGCATAGAATTTTTTACGGTAGCGGATCTCGTGTTGTAATAGGATGCTTCTTTTACAGCCATAAAATGCATATTTCAATGCGCAGTAGTAATGTGGTGGATCTTGAAAATGATTTTCAGTCATCAAAACAAACCTGAATTGAGAATTGATTCGATTTTTCAGTTTGAAAATAAAACCTATTTGATAAGAATACATACCAACTTATGGAGGAGTTTGAGTTTCAGAAGCCAATCAGTGTTAATTGGAAGTGGCTATGATGTCTTAGATAAGAAAAAATGCGAGTATTTACTGATACAATGAGCCAATTATTGCTATAAAATATCTTTTCTGGTGGTGATCTTTTCTGAGGTGGAAAGTTCTTTTCTGATGCCTTCCAAAGTTTCAGGTAAATCCAGCTCACTTCAGCGGGAACAGCTTAGAAACAAACCGAATGATTGTCGACTTTTTGTGAAGAATTTATTCAGCTGCTGAGTTGCAATTGGGAACCTAGCTCACATTAGAGCGGGTACGATACTGCTTTGGCTTAAAACTCCAACAACTTTTCATTTTTTAAACTGCATTTTTTACTCAAGCAAAGCTTGTGTTATAGTATGAACTCTTTTTTTTCCAGCCTAAGTCTCAAATATTGTTGCGACGCAAATATTTTTGCCACAAATTGTGTTCATTTTGATCAATAACCAGCTATTAAGTACAGCCAATGCTAAGGAAATTTACACAAGCAAAGCTTGTGGTATAGTATGAACTCTTTTTTCCTACCTAAGTCCCAAATTTTGTTGCGACAAAATGTGTTCATTTAGATCAATAACCAGCTATTAAGTACAGCGAATGCTAAGGAAATTTACACAAGCAAAGCTTGTGTCATAGTATGAACTCTCTTTTTTTCAACCTAAGTCGCAAATATTGTTGCGATACAAATATTGTTGCGATACAAATATTGTTGCGACAAAATGTGTTCAGTCAATGCTAAGGATATTAACACAAACTATTATATTACAAATTCATGTTTGATAAAAACGCGTATTATGAAAATGTGTGGTATCGGTTTTTTTTAAACGCTCTGGAAAACTTTCGTTTTTCTTAAAAACTATTCTACTGAATTTCAAAAGAGTAGTACCAATGGGAATTCCGGCCACTCTCCTGTGAATTCCGGCCACTCTCCTGTGTGCCTGCATACTTCCCCAGTCTCTCGGGACCTTACGCCACTTTCTACAGCCTTCGAAAAAGTTTGTGGGGGGAATTTTTGACCCAATTTTTTTGGAATTTTTTTTTCTCGAAAACTACCTATTCAGATCTGAGATTTTGGGTTCAATGGATAGAAAAGGTTGTGGTAAGCTCCCTTGCATAAGCGGCTTTGCCTAAATTTTTTTACACAATAAATACGGCCCTATAAATAGTCATTTTTTTTTCGATTTTTTGACCATTTTTAAAACTTCTCTCAAATACTACCCTCCCAAATCTGAGTTTTTATTTTTAATTGAACGGAAGGTTTGAAGAAGGCTCCCTTGTTTTAACGGTTACGCTCAAACTTGTTCACACAAAAAGTTATGACCCTCGGAAAAGTCAAATTTACGATGTTTTGACCATTTTTTGAAACTTTTCAATTTTTCTCGATAACTACTATCCCAAATCTGACGTTTCGGTTTCAGTGAGTAAAATGGGTTGTGGGAAGCTCCGCTGCACAAACGACTACGCCTAATTTTCTTACACAAAAGTTATGACCCTCCGAAAATTCTTATTTTCGATTTTTTGGTAGTTTTTTCAAACTTTTTAACTTTTCTCGAAAACTACCCTCCCAAATCTAAGATTTTGATTTCAATAGGTAGAAAAGGTTGTGGGAAGTTCTCTTTCATCCCCGGTTACGCCCAAATATTTTAACACATAAAGTTATGACTTTCGGAAAAGTAGATTTTTTGACTGTTTTTTTGAAACTTTTTGAATTTTCTCTAAAACTTCCCTCCTGAATCTGAGATATTAGTTTGAGTGTGAAGAACGGCTTGTGGGAAGCTCCACTGTATAAGTGGTTACGCCCAATTTTTTCCACGTAAAGTTATGACCATCGGAAGACTCAAGTTTTCGATTTTTTTAACCGTTTTTGAAACTTGACTTCTCTCGAAAACTACCCACCCAAATCTAATGGGCTACATTTTGTCATCTTTCAACCTAACAAATTCTTGTAATCGATTCATTTTTAAAAAAAATGAATTAATTGTTGGAATTAACAGATTTTGAAGTCATTAAATTGGGATTTACTTTTCTTTGCTATAGGTCTGTTTTTGAAAACACCCTTGTCCTTCCTCATCAATACAAAAATTTCAAATGTTATCAAACAAGTTTTTCCAGCTTTAGCTGACCTTTAGTTCTCGTTTGAAAAAAAAACAGGTATTATGAAAATATATGGGATCGAGTATTTTTTATTTTCTTTTTTGAGACGCTATCGAAATTTTTCGTTTTTCTCTAAAACGTTTTTTTACCGATTTTCAAAAGAGTAGTACCAATGGGAATTCCGGCCACTCCCCTGTGTGCCTGCATACTCCCCCAGTCTCTTTTTACCTTACCCCTTTTTCTACAGCCTCGAAAAAGTTTGTGGGGAAATTTTTGACCCAAATTCTTGTTTCTTGGTTTCATTTTCTCGCTAACTACCCACTCAAATCTGAGATTTTGGGTTCAATGTATAGCAAAGGTTGTGGGAAGGTCCCCCGATAATTTGGCAACGCTCAAGTTCTTTTTTACACAACTAATTCTGACCCTCGGAAAAGTCATTTTTTAAGCAGTTTTCGAAAAGTCAAAAACTGTTTTTAGCAGTTTTTTACTAATTGTCTTGAAAACTACCATCAAAAACCTGAAATTTTGGTTCAATAAAGAGAGAAAGGGTTGACCGAAGCTCGTCTGTTTAAGCGCTCACTTCCAGTTTTTCTAACAAAAAAGTTATGGCCTTCAGAAAAGTCAATGTATTGATTTCTTTTCCGTTTTTTAAACTTGTGACTTCTTGAAACACAACTCAATCTGATATCAAAGGTTTAATCAAGGCAACATGTTGTAAAAATCCTCCGCGAATAAACTGCTACCCATTCAAGTTTGAAAAAAAAACATGTTTCTGGGAGAGATTCCAAAATTAAATTGGTCACTCGTTTTTTAATTGAGCAACAACAACAAAATTATCTACTTCATCACGAGATGTTTTTAGTGAACTTTTTCGTATACTAGTTAAGTGCGTCCGCTCTTTAAATTGAGACATGTTACTTGGTAATTTTTTTTTTCAAAATGACTGGTATTGCGTATGCGTCATAATTGGCTTGCGTCACTCAGCAATTATATAGACTCATAATTGGCGTCTGTCAATTAAGAATTTTTGTAGACTTAAAGTTTACGCGTTCAGTTTTTCTCAGTAGCGTTATCGCTCATATTTCGCTTTTGCATGCGAAGTGCAACTTCGCCTCTGTGGATATTTCCTCATTTTTCAAACTGCATCCTTGAATTTATGATAAATGTACAAAAGTAACAAGTTTCGATGTTGATGATGAATCATAGGGCATGTCTTAAAAATGCCTAGTCGGAAGCATTCTTTTTCTTGTCATCATCAACATCATTTTTAGGCAGTCTTTTGGTAATAAACGCTGAAGAGTAGGCTGGCACAGGTATTTGATTAGTTGTAAAGGTTTTCTCCGAAAAGGTTCGTCTTTTCACAAGCAAAGCTTGTGTGATAGTATGAACTCCCTTTTTTCCAACACCTAAGTCGCAAATATTGTTGGTATGCATCATTTTGATCAATACGCATCATTTTGATCATTAACCAACTCCTAAGTACAGCCAATGCTGAATAACCATCATTTTGATCAATACGCATCATTTTGATCAATAACCAACTCCTAAGTACAGCCAATGCTAAGGATCTTAACAGAGACTATTATATTGCGAATAGCCTTTTAGCTTCAAGGTGTCATGGATTTGTAGCGTAGAGATAGGAAAGGAGACCTGCAACAAAATAAGATGGTTCGAAACTGGGCAGGATCGGATGCTTTCATGAACTTTTTCGTATACTAGTTAAATTGAGGCATGTTAGTTGGTAAATTTTTTTTTTCAAATTGACTTGTACTGCTAATGCGTCATAATTGGCTTGCGTCACTCAGCAATTATGTAGACTCATAATTGGCGTCTGCCAATTAAGAATTTTTGTTGACTCAAAATTTTACTCATTCAGTTTTTCGCAGTAGCGTTATCGATCATATTTTTGCTGGTGTATGCGAAGTGCAAGTTTCTGTGTCAAATATTTTTGGAAAATCAATAAGTTATGGCTTTCGGTAAAGCCTAAATTTTGATTTTATGACCGTTTTTTTTTACTTCTTGACTTTTCTCGAAGTATCCTCCCAAATCTAAAACTATGATTTTCGGAAAAAACTATTTTTACCGTTATTTGAAATTGACTTTTAGACGACACCTCCCAGAAGTTCGAGTCCAGTCAGGACCTGCTTTTTTGTGGAAACTGAAATTTTTCGATACTTTTAGACTTTCGTGTCTGCTTATGTTTGTCAGCTTAAATCTCGCAGAATACTTGTTTTTTTTAGCATTTTGAAAGCTCTTTGTAAAGTTTCTAATGGTGTAGGTCATTAGGAATTTTTTGTCCTATTTCGCAATTTTTATAACTTTCTTTGATAAAAAAAGTTGTGAACGTTTTTTTAACTTTTGTTTATTGCCTTTTAGTTTGCTTGTAATTATATTCATTCTTTTTTGAGTCGCAAGTTGTTCGAAGCTCAGCTTCGACTCTGTGTAATTATTTTGTGCATCTGTTAGAAAATAAAAAATAAAATTGTTCGTCTTCATGCTTGAGTTTTCTTAGCTTATGAGTTTTAATTAGATCACGCTTCCGATTAACAAGCGTTACCAAATCGGTATAATTTTTTTCTTTTTAAACCTTGTGTCTAAAAGAATCATTGGTCCTGTTTATTTTGCAAAATTGAAAATATTTTCCGTTTGAAAAACGTCGGCCCTTCGTTTTTCTGCGTAATTTTTTGTTGGCCTTGTTCTCGCAGCGCGGATTTTTGTGATTTGAGTAATTTTCATTATAATTAAAAGTTTTTTTGGTTTATTCCTGTAATTTGGGAAATTTACCCAACCTGATCTTGTATAATTTATTTATCTTCTATTCGACTTAATGATTAAAGCTTTTTCTTATATCGGATTAGACACCTTATATTGCATTGCTTGAAAAAAAATGAGGTTATATCCTTTAATTACCAAGGGTGTACCTTAAAGCTCAAAAATTTTCGTGACAACAATTTCGTTTTCGGCTCAACTGGTTTCTATCCAAGTATTGTCGGCTTAGCTGCCACTCGATAAGTTTTTGTAAATGCTTTCTTAAGCTTTTGGTTGTTTCTCGTTATCTTTTTAACGCTATATAATGTAATAATATTGTTCGTAATATAATTTTAGTAGATGTAATTTCGCCCATATGGCTTCCCTGTCATTTTCGCTCCGCAAGCTTACAATGCGATGTTTGCGCAAAGCTCCGAATAGCCTCTGTGGAATAACTTGTTTTGGGATTTATTAGTGGTGTATTTTCTGGTTATTGCTCTTAATGTTTGCTAACAATGAAGTGGTTGCAGGTGAGCACTAATGTACATTACGAGACTGGCACCCTGGCATGGCTGTTGTGTCTGGGTCTGTGTTGTGTGGGCTGTGACCTGGGCTGCTGTCTCATCCCCTTCTGTGTGGACCAGTGCAAAGATGCCTACCACACCTGTCCCAACTGCAACGCCTCCATTGGAACTCACAGCGCACTGTGAGCTTGCAATCATTCAATCAAGCATACAACCGCAATCATGCAGTAAACAACAACAACAGCAAAAAAAGCACGATCGCTTCTCAACCAACGGGTAGAATCCTGAATTAGATTTTAAGTTCCTCGTAAATAGGTCGCGATGATTTTTTTTCAGGGAAAGCTTTAAAATTTAAATTTGTTCAGGCTCAAACTTACTTTTTCGCTGTTTGACTTTGCTTTTAAAAAAAATTCAGTTCACATCTTTTGTGAAAAGGGAGGCAAACTCCACTACTTTTAGTTTCGAAAGTAAAAATTTGTCATCAGATGTTCCAGCGAAATAAAAAATTTACCTATTGATCCAGTGTTCTTAAATTGGGTTAATTTTCATCAAAAAACTGTCAATCAGAAGTTATTCTTGAAATTCATAGAGCTTTATCCATCTATTTTTTCTTGGAAATTCGAAAGTTGAGATTTTGCAAAAAAAATGTCAGTTTTTGCTGTTAAATTGCGTTCATTGACCTTTTTCAAACTGTCCCTTGGCTAGGTTGTTGCAGTACTATTGGTTTCGAAAGTTCATCATAGCGTTGTTTATTTTGAAAGTAAAATAGTGCCATTTGAAATGAGTCAATTAGTCTTTTTTGAGATATATTTAGCGTGTTTTGATCGTGCTCATTAAAAAATTTCGCAGACTTCAGATAATTTTGTCATTGCAGATAATTCTTCCACATAATTTTGTCCAAAAAAATTACTTCAGCAAAAGAAAAAAAATCCCAAACGAGACAAAGTAATCCTAAGGCTACTTATATATAACTGCCAAGGACTTGCTAATATTCGAGTTGCTAGTATTTTTTTGTTAACTTGCGTTCATTGACATTTTTCAACTGTCTGTTTTCTTTTATTATTTTTGAAACGCTTTGGTAATTTTTTCATAACTCGGAAAAGTTTGTTTTTCCCAAACACTGCGTAACCGATTTTGAAAAAAAAAATGGTACCAATGGCAAGATCGCTCAACTCCTCTGTGGCCTGCATACACATCTACTTGCTTTTAATCTTGGTTCATTTTCTTACTGCCTTCGAAAATTTCTGTGGAGGGAAATTTCTGTGGTTTGTGGCCTATCTTTTTGTTGAGAAAATATTTATGGCCTTACAAAAAGTAAATTTTTAAATTGACCGTTTTTCGATTTTAGTTTTGCGCAAAACTAGTAGGAGTCTGAGTATGCTGACATATAAACAAAAGTAGTGTGATAAGTCGTGTTTTCAAACTGATTTTTTGTTCCCAATGCTTTCGTTTATTGAAAATTTCTTTTTTTTTTTAATTTTCATTGAAAAAAATTAGTTTTTGATAAAGATTAATTTAACGGTTCTGAAATGCTCATTTTAAATCTTTAAAAGAGTAACAATTCGGTGTTTTTTTGTGCCTGATGTTTTAATAGTAAAATAGTAAAATAAGTTTTGTATTTTTAGCGAGGGCTGGAGACACCGACGAGCTAGGAGGTACGATGCGTACTTGCAACGATACAACTATTAAGCGGACCACCAAAATCAAAATTTACCAGATTTGATCAGCGAGTTCGGAGGATGAGAAGATGAGAAGCATTACAAATCTGAAGAACGATTGGAAACCAAGGACAAAAATCGTTCTCCGTATGGTTTTTTCACTTGTTGGTTTCTGAAAAACTCGTGCAAACATCCGATAGTGCAATCATCGGAAATCACAGAAATGTAATAATATGACATCGCTGTCGCAAAGTTGCGAGTTGAAATCGTCCAATAAGTCGGTTTCTATTTAACTTTATTTGCTTTTTGAAGTTTTCTTATGGAAACAATGAGAGATATGTTTTCAACCGGCTATTCAAATGCATTTTAGAAAGTGGACGTACACCCCCTGTAAAAAAGGAATTATAGAGAACTAAGAATTAACTTTTATAGGCCTTCTTGATATAAACCGAATCAACTTCTATAGGTCTTTCTTGATATAATTTGGCTCAGTATTGGACAAGTTTGGCGAGGTTCTTATTTCAAATTCGGTCAGAAAAACATGTTTTTCGGACACTTGCTGTATTTTCCCTTTTTCAAATGTTAGACTTATCGGATGTTTGCACGTAACTCGAATCAAACTGTTGGATCAACCGAATGTCTACATCTATTATATTGAAATTTCGAATTTATATATATAACAAATGCTAATTTAATTTTATCGCTTGATCCAACAATTTAATCACTTAAGAGAATTCATGTGCGACTACTTTTTTCTCTATTTATGGTCATTTTGAGTTTGAAAACAGTGCCATGTCGCAAAAGATTTGTAAGAGTAATGAACGTAGTGAAGACTCTTATATAGGTCTCGCTGATTTTTTTTGTTCAATTTTTTCAGGAAAAAGTCATTTCAGTAAAAAAAAATATGCACTTATGTATATATGCACTTTTGAGATCAATTGAATTCATCTGCTGAAAGTGACTTAAATAGCACTGTCTAAATACGAACGTGCAAATGGCGCAAAAAAGTTAACGATTTCTAGTTTCAAAAGTGGAATTTAATTTTTAGATTTCCCAGCGGAATAAGAAACTTAACCTATTGATCCAGTTTTCTCAATTTGGGTTCATGTTATCAAAAAAGCGCAAATCATAAATTGTTCTATAAATTCAAAGAGCTTAAAGGGCGTCTATTTTTGATGAAGTTCGAAAGTTGAGATTTTTTCAAGAAAGTCAGCGTTTTTTTTGTTTACTTGCGTTCATTACTCCTTTCCAATCTTCGATTGGCTATCTTTGTCAGTAGGGACATGCTTTAATCGACGTTAGTAATTTGATGCTTGTTTTATACCCAGAGCATATAGTAGGACGGAGAGAACTAATATTCGCTATAATAAATTGATATGAATGGCTTAAACATTTTGTGCTTGTAGATATGGCCGGGTAGTTATCCAGTTTTGTATTCATTTACATTTAAGAATCAATAGTATGTAAATATTTGTGTCTCCTATCTATAGATTGACGTCGTTGTTTTTTTTTGGATAACAGATAATGCTTGTAATAAATACCTGGAAGAAGTTGAAAAATTTATGGTGCGTTTTTGTGATAGGAGACTTTTAGTTTGAAATAATTTCTAAATTTTAATTTAGATTAGATCAAAAAAATATTGAAAATTAACCTTTTGAGCTAAGTGTTCATCACCAAGTGTGTTCTTTTTTGACGCATATCGATTTTTTGTGAAAAGCATGTATAAATTTTTTATTTTCATCTGATGCGATTTGATTCTTGAGCGATTTCAGAGATTGGTGCTATTTGTGCGATGAGAAAAAATTGTATAATTTCAAGTTCTGTCAGATCTTAAGTGCAGCATTAATTATGACAAAGTAGTTAATTTATTTGCTTTCTGATTGAAATAAATCTAATTTATTGTAGTTGTATCTAGAAATCACACCCTGCATGAATATTAATGCATTTTGAAAGCTCTATTCCTCTGTGGAGACAGCTGAAATAGTTTTTTGCTTTCTTGAATTAATTAGTTTCAACCTTTCTCTTTTTATAATTGACAAAGATTGAACCAAGGGTAATTTTCACTTATAAAAGTCTTGAATTGTTTTTTGCTTGTTTTTTTTTCAAGCAGTTACTCAAATTCTCTTACAACTACAGATGTATACTCATACATATTCATGCATTTATGATTACACTTAGGTTAATACGCACTCTTTCGGTTGAATTTAAATTCATCTGCTAACAATTGGAGGTTGCGCTCTCCAATTACGAAAACGGAAAAGGCGAGATAAACGTCTACGCTGCAAGTATCTTATTGCAGAGGAATAAGAAATTTACCCATTCGTAGTTTATCAAAGGCACTATCTTTTGCTTGCTAAAATTAAAGATCAATATGGAGAAGCTTATCTTTTTAAAATATAAAAAAACTTGCATACGAACTTCTCAAATAATTGCCTTAAATAGGTTTGCAGAAAGTCCATAATAACTAGAAAGCCAATGAAGTTAACCCACGTACATACTCCCAAATATGAAGTTGATACGAAGATGCTTTGATACGGGGACAGCTTTGCTTCTTAAGATCTGTAAGAAATTGAGCTTTTTTTGGTTCTTTTAAACCAAAGTTGTTCAAGCCCCTCTTTCGGTCCAGAAGTAAACACTTTTGGAACATAAGATTTAGGTATAGAGTCTCGGTCGGAACTTGTATTTTTTTTTGATGGCAAGAAATTTTTATTGGCCCACTTTCCACAGCGTGAATTTTTTTCTTCAAAGCATCAAAATTTTTAAACTGATTAAAGCATTTTCAAGTCTAATTGAAAGTCACGCTGCAGTTTGAAAATTTACCAGTTTTTCTTTTGTACAACTTATAATGCTATTTTTTTTCCGCGTTATTAGTTTGGATTTTTGCCCTAGCGACCTGGTTGCCTCATTTTACGTCGATTCAACTGCAAATTAGATTGTTATGCTTTTGTGTGTTTCAGAGAATAGAGCGTAAAACTTTGAATTTCAAAATATTATAGTCCAAAATTTTTGTGAAATCATTTTTTTCGCTCAACTATCGTTTACCCTTGAATTGTCGGCTTAGTTGCCGCTCGGTTAACGATTTTGATCGATTTTTGAGTGATGATTTTAGTGTTGTCTGACATAATTTTTTCAATTTGAAGATATTTGATCAAATTTAGGGAATTTCAATTTTTGTTTCAAAATATAATTTCGAATCTATTACTTATGAGAAAGAAATTAATGGAGTTTGTGTGGCTTGAACCTGTTTTTGGTAATTTATTTCTTTAAATATGGCAAAAAGCAATTTTGAAAGCAATCAAACAGCATGTTCATTAGGAACATAAAGAATTATCAAATGGTATTATCATTTGCTTGCTAAAAACGAGATCATTATGGAAAAGTAAATCTTAAAAACTTCTTAAAAAGATTGATTAGAAAATTTTCAAAAAATTGCCACAAAAAATGCAGAAAAACTATAAAAAAAACTATGAATGCCCTTAAAATTAACCCATGTGCATCAATATTATCAAAGATATTGCTTTTTGATAGTCACATATGTTCCTGATGTACATGCGGTTTGCTTGCTTACGAGGTTCAAGGTTTTAAGTTAAATTTCTGGGTAAGCTTTGAAATTTTTGATCATGATTTTTGAATGAAACTTTTTTTTTCTTATCGTTTCCATCTTTTGAGAAAAAATGAATAGAGCTTGTGAAGCTTGAACGCTTCTTATGTTTAGTCAATTGGTTTCTCTAAAAATTGCGAAAAGTAGTCTTGAAAGCAATCAAACCGCAAATCCACTAGGAACAAATGGGCTTCTCAAAAGGTCTTGCAAGCAACCATGGTATTGTATAGTAGTCTTGGAAGCAACAAAATCGCATGTACACTAGAAACATCTGGGATTATCGAAAGGTACTATCCACTGCTTGCTAAAAACAAAAATCAATATGGAAAAGCAAATCTTGAAAAAAAAACTTCTGGATGCTTAGATAGTGTTAGTTCCCGTGTTACTTGACATGTTTTTCGCAAACCGAAGATCATTCGAACAAATATATGGAATTTCAGCTGTTGTTTTTCGAATTTTCAAAAATTATTTCTTCGACTTAGTTGCTTCCGTCTCATTTTCTATTTTATATTTTATTATGCGATATTGTTTTGTACCGCATGTAGCGCAAAGCTCTGTTTCGTCTCTGTGTTCCATAGGCTTTCAGATTTTTTAGGTTTTCTTTGAATTCTTTGTGGCAATTGTTTGATAATTTTATATGCAAGTTTCTTAATTTTTTTTTCATTTATCTCTTCCATTTTGATCTTAGTCTATAGCAAGCAATGGATGGCGTCTTTTCATAATATATTTGTTCCTGGTGTACATGCGGTTTGCTCGCTGGCAAGATTTATGGTGGATTTTCCTGGAAATTTTTGAAGATTTTCGATCATTAGTTTTCGACCGAAAGTTAATTTTTTCTTATCATTTTCATTTGTCAATTATGAGTTTGAAATGCATGGAGTCTTGTAATTTGAACATTTCTGATGTTTCAGGTAATTGAATTTTCTAAAAATTGCGAACAGATTTTTCTCGATTTTATAGCCGACAATTTCTTCAGAATTTCTTTTAATTATTTCATTTTTTATTAGACACATCATCTTCCGAACATTTATATTTTTTATTTCTGTTTCGCATATAGCGTTGAATTTTGACGCCATTGTGTTGATGTTTGTGTTCTCTGTTTTATTTTGTTTGGGTATGTTTCGCTTTTGAAATGTCAGTGAACGTAAAGTTGATCTAGATTGTGCTGATTTATTTTTTCGGCTTTAGTTTCAAAGACTAAAAATTTAATCACCCAGTTTTGATTTTTTTGCGGTTTGACTTCGGATTTCTTCCCAAGTTCAATTGAATGTCTTGGCCTAAAGGACGTCAAATTGCGCTCTCCGATTATAAAAATTCAATTTTGGCGAATTAACGTAAATAACATTTTTTTCGAAAGATTTGAGAGTTTTTCGAAAAGATTTTTTAATTTTTGTTCTATTATTTTGCCTTTTTGTTCTAATCAATTATTTTGGCCAAAGTAATTAACTTATAAAACGATCATTGCTCGATCGCGTTTCTCGCTCGAAGCTAGACCAAATTCATAAATTTCAAAGCAGTTTTTCCTAGCTTTTTTGAAAGAAATTTCATGTCAATCGAGTGACCGCTCTCATATTATTGTTCCGACATTCGATACGAAAGTAACGGAATATTTGTGCTCGGGGTGGGTTTTTTTTTCTTCAGACAAATTTCGACTTTTTAACTAGCCATTTTTGACGGAATCTTTTTATATCATTCGAAGGGTATTGTTGTCCTAAGCTCGAATTTGAAAAGATATTTCATCTGTGATCGTTTTTCGTAGAGTTATGGGGGGTTTAAAGATTGCCATTTTGGCCAATTCGGGACAATTAACGCGCGATATATTTCGCGCTATTAACGCGTAAGCGGAGAGTTAATCCGTCTTAGAAATCGTTCCAAATTGGTTAAAAGAAGCTTAATTGCCATAATTGGTTTGTTACAAGGAGCGAAATTTATCCTTTTGTACTTTATATGGCGTGTGGGGGGATGATTTTCATAAAAAATTTCAAAATTTAGAAAAAAATTTTTTTTCATTTTGTTTTATTTCATTGAATTTTTTAAATGTTATTACTGCTCCATAAACCTTAAAAGGCAGTCGGAACATTCAGGGCTTCGCCCTGATACGAGCAGTCTTGTATATCTCTCGGCTCATTCCGATAGTTTTTTGTGGTACCTGATTTTGCTTCAAAAAAAAACTAAAACACACACGCCCAGTTCCTCCACATTGTCAGAAAAGTTTTGTCATATGATATATGGCATGTAACAAGCATTCGATCGATACCTATAGTAGTTAGCCACCTAACACCATGATGCTGGCTTGATCTTTGAATATTTTAATGTAAACCATTTTACTACTTTCTTTTTAGCTTTGAGAATTTTAGGTATTTCACCAAATTCTTTAAGGATTGAAATGTTTTCAAGCTTGAATGCTTTGTTTGAAACAATTTTTTCTTAATTCACAATTTTTGTATCATCGATATATTGATGTTGTTTTTTTGGCGAGTAATAATGAACTGAAATAACTATAAATTAGATAAAATTAGCTGATATATGCTTTAAAGTTCCTATGCGCCCACCATTAGGCCTCTATTATAGTCTCTAAAAGGTGGTTCGTTTTGGCTGGCCCCAATTAGCATGAAAGGAGTCCAATGACAGAGTATTGACGTATAATGAAAGAATCGTGTAATTTATAATCATATAATCTGACTATCGTATGACTTCAAATCGTATTTTTTGGTTTTGGTATAAAAACATCATTGTATAACTTGAGATCAAAAGATCAATTACAGTAACCGCTCAAGGCTTTCTAGACTGTTTTTGGTACTCGATTTTTTTCCGGAAATTCTCTGATTGTTCTAAGAAAACTTTTTATGTTGGAGTTGAGCCGCCCCTTATATCAATCAATCTTTAGAACACAATGAAAAAATACCTGTCTCACAAAAAAGTCGCCACCTATCGGTTTCGTTAAGTCGTATAATTTATCGTATAAATCTGATCTCTCCTTTAATCTTATACCGTATAAGCAGTTTTTCGTATGCTCTGTCTTATATCGTATAACGTGTACAAAACGCTGGCTAAATTTGTTGCTGTATTTACTCTTGCGATTAGCAAGCGTTATAAAACTGGAATATATACTTTTTCTAGTTAACAAATTGTTTCACAAAATCAGTTGAAGCAGTTAGCTCGGCTGTTAGCCACAGCCAAAGGTAGCTGATAGCAACAGAACAGAATGCCTATCAACAGATTTTTTTCTGAACCTGTCTGCCTTTTAAATGATCGTTTCATTCGAAATTTTATTGTTGGTTGAAAATCAACTCTTGTTTTTAGTGTCTTTCTTCTCCTTTTTTCCTTTTAAAGTTTTTTTTCCGGCTTAAATGGTTTCGGCTGATGCATATCTGTTTAGTTGCATGTTAATTCGTTGTATGAAGCATCATGTTTTTTAAAGGGCTTTTGTGCTTATGGAAAGGTAAGTGTGCGGGGGATTTGGAATGGTTTGGCTCAAAACGTTTTATAGCTCAATTTTTTTTTTTCGGCTCAACAGTCGTCTACACAAATTTTGTCTTCTCAGTATCCGCTTGATCAAATTTGTTCTAGATGGCTCTTCAACACTGGCAGTTGTATTTTTCCTTAAATTTACCCGCGTTCCAGGCAAACGTTAAAAAATCAATTTTGCAAATTATTGTTTTTTTAATATATATATATTTTTTTTCGATTCAGCTTGCGTCCCTTTTTTGGGCTAGATGCCATTTTTTGTTGGATCGCTAGTGGTGCGAGTCTCAGCTTCGTCTCAATGCGAATAGATGCGAATGAAAAAGAGGAGCTGGTTGCTGTGCAAAAAGCACGGAAGTTTCGGACCGCTGTTATTTTCTCAAAAAAAAACAAAAATAAAATCATAAAATTACTTCGTTTTTTTTTCAATTTTTTTTGACGTTTTTTGCATGCGGTGGAAAAAGTTAGCTTAGAACAAACTAGTCATAACATTTACCTTGACTGCTTCAAATTAATTTCAAAGTTTTATGAACAGCTGAGCTATTAAGCAACATGAACAGTTGACTCTCCAAATTTGTCTAAAAAGGAAAACCGTTGATATGTTCCAATAGGTGGTAATTTTGAGCGCAGTTCATGTATTAAATTTGAGAATATATAATGAATTATATAGTCATTTCATTTCCAATCAATTGTACATGCTGCTAACATAGTTTTTGCAAATACATTACTCTGCCAGATACAATGTCAGTCAAAAACTCAAATTTTACACTTATTTCGCCAAAAAAATTGGCTTTTGAATTATATTATGAATACTAATCGAAGTTTAACAAAAAGTGATCCAGCTATTTAACTTGATTCTGCCAACTATTGTAATATATCACCGGAAAAGGCTCGCATTTGTTTTTAACGACTTCGTGACATTTTCTGCTTTTTTTAAAATATCGATCGAGTCAATGCTTAGAGGGATAAGTCGTGATATTTCACTGGACTTTGTGGTAGCTGACTTTGCATGAAACGATAGTAAAAAAAGTGAGAAAAACCATACACACCCAACAAATACGAATACAAATTTTCTTCCCATTTCGTTGTCGGTACAGTCACTGCGGCGTCAGATAATTTAGTCGTTTAGATGCATGTATAAATGTGATATCCTTTTGCATGAAGTCTTTTCCCTCAATAAACATTTACAGTTGAGGTTGTCTGCTGGCAGAAGGATTTATGTTAGGAGCAACGTGTAGATCTTTTTATAATTACTTGAAGAATTATTGAAATCGAACGATGGGATTAACTTAGTTTACCCTTAAGCCGCATGCAAATTAACCTATTTAATTTGAACCAAATATGTATTCATGCCTTGTTAACTTTCAGAGTAGTTTTGTAAGAACAGCTTCAGTGGCGTACCTTGGCGGCGCAACATAAGAGCATGGGTGGCACGTTATTGTTTATAAAGGAGTTAACCAGTTTGTGCTGAACTAGTTATAATTTGGCTGCATGCGATGATTAAGGCCAATTTGCATGTTTACCAAATTAACTTGACATGACGACATGAGGCATCAGTGAGTAGCTGCAACGTCTACAACAAACAACTGCAACTGAATTTGGCGACCAGGTGAAATCACTTACCTTGAAAGGATAGCTTGTTTATCGCTACTCATTTCAACGCTCCTCTCCCTTTATTAGTTGTCAGTTGGCGCTGCTTTGGTGAATTTGTGCTACATTACTTAAACATTGCCAGTTGTACGAAAAACCGGTTGGACGATATCAAACCTCTGTTTCTATTTTCCCACTTGCAAAAGGGGACGAAATAAAGTTACTTGCTACAATAATCAAGCATGCTTAACATTTGAATTAGCAGTTAATAAGTATTAATATTTTTTACTTGTTACCAAAAGGGGAAGAAATCAATATTGTTTTCGCCAAAGGCTGAAAAATCGTTAAAATTTATACTGAAATAGTTCGTTTTAAAAAAAAACTGTCTATATTTCCACTTTATTTATCATAGCTGAGTTGTCACGTGGAACAGAAATTGAATAAATTAAAAACAAAAGCTAGTGAAATTTTTCTTATATCGTCTGCATGGACATTCGGCCGAAGTCAAAATGTGGCGCAGTCGAACTAGCAGGGAACCCATGTGTTCAGCTTAGTGGGAAATAATTTAATTGGACTTCTTGTTTACTAGTACTAATATACTATACCAATTGAACACTACTTAACTAGTTTGAGAATCAAAACCGGCATTTTAGGCACTTGTCTCAAAAACAATAAGTACTCATTTTAAAATGAGATATTCGCCAAAAATAGTTATTAAAAATATCTATGCTCCAATGTTAGGTCTCTTAAATAGAGTTTTTGCTAGTAAATTTATAGTCTTCGTTTCTTAAGGTGGCGGCAAATGGCAGTTGCCGAGAATTTAGAAAAAAATAGACGATTTTCTTTCTAAATCATTTTTGCTCGGATTTCAGAAAGTTGGAAGGATTTTTATATTTCGGCATTTTTCTTCGTCTTAGTTAGTTATCACTAGTAAATTTCAGAGATTTGGGACAATTAACGCGCGATATAATTTGCGCTATTAACGCGTAAGCGGAGATTTAATCCGTCTTATAATTGGTTCAACGAAGCTTGTTTGTCATAATTGATTTGTTACAAGGAACGAAATCTATCTTTTTATACTTTATATGGCGAGTGGGGAGATGATTTTCATAAAAAGTTTCAAATTTTAGAAAAAATAACTTTCATTTTATTTTATTTCATTTATTTTTTTAATGTTATTACTGCTGCTCCATAAATCTTAAAAGGCAGTCGGAACATTCAGGGCTTCGCCCTGATACGAGCAGTCTTGTTTGCATTTGGAATGCAATGATAATTCCCAAAAATACTTATTGTTCTGACTTTCGATACGAAAGTAACGGAATATTTGTACAAGGGGTGGGTTTTTTTTTCAGACAAATTTCGACTTTTTAACTAGCCATTTTTGACGAACTTTTTATATCATTCAAAAGGTATTGTTGTCTTGAGCTTAAACTTGAAAAGATATTTCACCTGTGACTATTTGTTGTAAAGTTATGGGGGTTCAAAGATTGCCATTTTGGCCAATTTGGGACAATTAACGCGCGATATATTTCGCGCTATGAACGCGTAAGCGGAGATTTAATCCGTCATAGAAATCGTTCCAAATTGGTTGAAAGAAACTTATTTGCCATAGTTGATTTGTTACAATGAGCGAAATCGATTCTTTTAAACTTTATATGGCGTGTGGGGGGATAATTTCATTTCAAAAATTCAAATTTTAGAATTTTTTTTTCATTTTATTTCATTACAATTAATTTTTTTATGTTACTACTGCTCGATAAAACTTAAAAGGCAGTCGGAACATTCAGGGCTCTGCCCTGTTTCGAGCAGTCTTGTTTAGTTCTTTAAAACAGTGTTATTGTTTGTGTTTAGATTTTTTGAGGCACTTATACGTAATTCACTGAGAAAAGAAAACCCTCTAAAAATATTGGTTGATGTTTGTTTTTATCGATTTTGTTTTCTCTTTTTTGACTTTTGCCTTCGTCTTTTTTCCGGCTAGATTACGTACTATTTTTGAGTGTTATCGCAAGTGGTGCAAAACTCAGCTTCGCTTCTGTTTTTTAAGTTCTTAAGAATAAACACCTATTGATCCAATTTTTTCACATTGGTTTATTATTATCATCAAGGTATATCGCGAAAGATTCTAGAAGTTCAAAGAACATTAAGGTAATTTATTGTTTTTTGAAAATTTTTAAAAAACATGTTTGATAATGATATGATGTGCTATAATATAGTATAATAATTAGGCAATAACACCATTTATTATTCTTTCTTGCTCATTTCCTTTTGTTCCAACTGACATTTCGTTATTGGTATCAATGAACGAAGTGAAACACTTTTTGAGATGCTTTTTTTCAGCTAGTCTTATAACATGATCATGCTCAAATTTGATTTTTCACGGCTTGACTTCCGATTTTTTTCAGTTCAGTTTAAATTCGGTAAAAGGAAGACAAATTATGCCCTCCAAGGTTCAAAGTACAAATAGCGTGAAAAAGCGTGAATGACTTCTCGTTTCGCAAGTGAATTTTATTTACTTTTTTCTGCAGAATAAAGTTCTTAAAGAGACATTTCTGAGCTCTGCCCAAACCATAAAATAATTATATTTAGCAAAATTTGCTGCACCATAAAGTTTTCTGGGCTCACATCTTCAAAATTAGTATATATTGGCGCCTACAGAAAAGAAAGCTTTCAGGGTTGGTCAAACAAGTTTTAGCCAGAAATGGCGCTCATAAATTATTGACAAAGGGGCTTTCATATAGTTTGGTAACCAACATTAAGGGGGGATTGGGCGGTCGCAGATTGATCTTATTAAAAACTTCACTAAAATTCTTCGTACAAATCAACAGATAGCTTCTTATTAAAGGAATTTGCGCAAAAAAAGTAAGCCAGCATTGAAAAAAAAAACGTCGGCATTTTAAAAAAAACGTCAAATGAACTCGATTAGAGCTGGCGTGAAATATCTATTCAACAAAAATGAATTTCACAATGAGTTAGTTTTTGTTATATTTTTCTCAAGTTCATGACTAAATCAAAGCTTCAGCTCCTTTTGTGGGCAATAAAAAGCTATTGCTATCAAAGACATAAATCTGTTAACCCGCAAGGTATCGCAGGGTTTTAGCGAATCTGCTTGTAGCTTTATTTGTGAATTGCTACTTTGCTTAGGTGTTTCTGAAACAGTTCAACGTCCAACAATCACAAGTCGGCTCCTAGGAGTACATTCTGAAAATCACCTTAGTAGAATCCTTACCTCTAATCCATAATAAATCATATCAACTCAAACGAAACTACCTGCTTAGTTAGCTCAAACTCTGAAACTCCAGATTTAATATAGGCAGTTCAACTTGTACTTTGCTGCTTATCGAACAAAGGTTCACTTCCGACAAAAGGCTACCAAAACTTGCTTTTATCTTTATTTTATTCAAATTCCAGTACTTATTAGATTTACCTGTGTTACTGTTTCGATTTTACTTGATTCGAAAACACTTCTCTAGAATCTACACTACAATAACTTCGATATCCGCTTTTTGATCACAACATGTCAAATTCAAAGCCCTCATGTCAATTCCTTTGATAAAAATCACACACAGGTCGAAAACCTTTGGCTTATTGAAGTTAAATTATTTTTCTACTCACGCTTTGTTTTTCCGCAAAAGGACTCCTAATACGTTTCAGCAAAGTAGAAGACTTATTTTAGAGTCCTTAAATTGAATCCAATCCGTATTCAGCAATTAATTTTAATCCTTGATTATCTTTCAGTTAAATAATATCAAATTTTATTCTTCTTTGCTTCCTGTGCCTTGTTTTGCCTTATTTTCTCGGGACTTAAGCAAGTTGCCGTTGATTTACTGTACAGCATATTCAGTTCATTTGAAAAAAAAAATAATTGGTGCTTCCTTATTTTGACAGAGCACTTTGATAAATAGTTTTTGCAAATTTATTTCAAGAGTTATCTGAATTTAAAGAGTTATTTTAATTGAATATAAATTTTTACCCTTAAGATGATCTTAAATGTTTATTATTAAAACAGATTTTAAGACATAGACATCTACTTGTCGCCAAGTTTTTTAAGCTCCTGAAAATATAATTATTCTGTCGCCTTATTTGTTTTGCTTCAGAATATTTCAGTCTTTTGGTGGACAGAAAGTAACTTTTTCACTACAACTGCAGGGGTATAAGATATTCGCCTGATTGGGTCTAATTCCTCCTCGCAACTTCAGAAACTACTTACCAGCATTCAAGTTCACCCAAAACAAAGGTAATACTTTCCTGCCTTCCTTATTAACAGTGCTAGTATGTAATACTAGAGTAGAATATTCACTTGTTACGCTTCTTTTGTTCCCATCTTAAGTCATTTTCATTTTCTTCTAACTGGTAAATGGTACACCAAGTTTCCATTATCTTGACTTATCTTCTTACTTCGCACAAAGAAAACCGACTGCTCAACTTTTTGTATTTATTATTACCATTCAGCAGTGCCGTTAGCTTGTATGCTGCAACCTTTAGTTTGAATACTTTGAAACAACCTGCTATCGATTGCTAATTGCATAACTATAATATTATGCTAATCTCGCCTGTTAACTGCGCAACTATTGTGAAGATGAACAGTTTTAAGTGTAGACTGGTTATTTGTGCCTTTTTACTAAGTGTGGGCTTTGTTTTGTGTCTGTCTTCGCCTTCGTTTCCTGTTCTTAATTTGCCGAGTGTGAGTCGTGAAGATCTGCAACTCGGAACATCGGTTGATTTGCAGCATACAGCGTATGAATGGGAGCCCTATATCCGCTTAGAACAATACCACGATCAGGTTAGTTGTTTTCCGACCTTGAAATATGAGAGGAACTTAGTCTTCGGGTGTTTTTTTTTGTTTTCCTCGCAGAATCAGGTACTAAATATGATCATTGAAATGAATCGAGTGATATAGCAGATTAAAGCCTTTTCAGTCGTTATTCATTAAAATTTTGTAGAAAGTTGTCCCACTGTCGATAAAAACTGGTTTGAATTTTTCGAGATTTATTCTTTATAAGAGCGGGTAACGCAATCGAGTTAAATGAAAATTGGTCACATAGGCTCAAAAAAACTTGATATTCTCGAGGAAGAGAAAGCTAGATTTGCTTTCATTTACTTCTTCCTTGGCAATGAAATGAAAGTTTTCTGAAAAAAAAAATTATATCGTGCAAAAAATAGAAATGATAAATAGAACTTTTTTTTGATTTTTTTTCATCTTTTGTTTCTGATTCATCTTTTGAAGACACCTGTTGTAGATTATGCCTAATTCCTTATTTTTCTACGCGTTGGTATAGCTTTCTCATCTCAGCACGAGCAAAATTAAACGTCAAACAAGAAAAAATAGGAAACCCTTTTTCTACAGTTTTTTATGAATGCAGTCGCGGAACGTTCCGTGCTGCTCGCCCAGCAACTGGCTATCCTTGTTTCTTTCTATATTTGTAATACAGTCGTTCGGTCTTTTGGAGTGTTTACGACTTGAATATAAGTGTGAATTCAAGTCGTATATTCAAGTCGTAAACACTCCAAAAGACCGAACGACTGTATTACAAATATAGAAAGAAACAAGGATAGCCAGTTGCTGGGCGAGCAGCACGGAACGTTCCGCGACTACATTCATAAAAAACTGTTTGTTTAACATTCATAAAAAACTGACGTTTAATTTTGCTCGTGCTGAGATGAGAAAGCTATACCACTTATATTTGACCTGCGTGTTTTCAGTTGTGAGTATCCAATACTCACTACTTTGGCGAGGAAATTTTTCTGCATACCATTCTCGAGTACCCCTTCTGAGCGTGTTTTCAGCACTACTGGAAACGTTGTTACCAAGACAAGAGCATCACTTATTGGAGGTCGTCTTAACATGCAAAATATTCTGCATGACAATTGAAAATTTTTCAACCAAGTTTTGATCTTCTATTTTTTTTTCTCAAGAATACTAAAAACCCAATGAAATACCGAATGTTCGAACGTTCGACGAATGTTCGAATGCTTTCGACCGACATTCGAGGCTTTTTTGAACTAAAGTTGCACTCCTAGTTATAATCCCCTCCTTTGCATGAAAACTTCTATCGCTAATCTGATTGGTCATATGAAACTTGGAAATTGAGGGTAAAAATGTATCAGATAGGAGGGTTTAAGGGAAATTACGTTGTTACATCATGCAATCAGAACTCCGACTCTGAAAATTTCTTCTTAATGATTGGCTCTGTTTTGGATATCGGTTTCTTTAAATATAAATTTCATTTAAAATCTGTTATATATTTAAATGCGGGCTTCACTATCTCGCCATGCTTAAACTTTTTCAGCGTATTATTTTTGCATGTTTAACAAAAGAATTTTTTTCACGTTTAAGCTATATCGTATATTGCAATGGTTAAGGTTTTTTTTCCAATTTTCAGTTTAAATTCAAAGTTTATTTCATCAAGTTTGAAATTCGCAACCCAATAGTAGGATTTTGTCACAGTTTTCCCAGGTTTTGCGATTCTAATAACCAAATCCTTTTAGTTTACGAGATAGGCATTTTTCGAGATTTTTCAAACTTTTCTTGAAATTTTAATGTTAATATAGTTGGGTGCTGTCAGGGTACTCTCAGGGGTGGCGAATCTTGCCTCCCGTTGTCACCTCTCAAATCCTTGTAGTTTTCGAGATATGACGGTTTTTATGATTTTTTAAAATTTTTTTCAAAAACTTAGATTTTAAAAAATTCCAAAACGTTGAAGATCTGGATCCTGTTGTTGGATACTGTGAGGGTACTCTAAGGGGTTGCGAATCTTGCCTCTGATTATGGCTGCTCAAATCCTTTTAATTTTCGAGATATGACGTTTTTTTGGATTTAAAATTTTTCAGAAAATTTAGATATAAAAAATTTCACAAAACTTGAAATACCATCTCTGTAGTGAGGCTCTGTCAGGGTACTCTCAAGGGTTTGCGAATTTTGCCGCCAAATATGACTGCTCAAATCTTTGTAGTTTTCGAGATATGACGTTTTTTATGATTTTATCCAAAATTTTCAAAAAAACTTAAATAATAAAAAATTCCAAAATTTTGAAGATTTTAATTCTGTTATTAGAATCTGTGAAGATACTTTCAGGGGGTTGCGAATCTTGCCTCTGAATATGGCTGCTCAATCTCTTGTGGTTTTCGAGATATGATTTTTTAAGGATTTTTTCAAAATTTTTCAGAAAAATTAATTAAAAAAATTTCGCGAAACTTGAAATACCATCTTGGTAGTGAGGCTCTGTCAGAGTACTCTCAGGAGTTGAGAATTTTGCCTCCCAGTATGACTGCTCAAATCTATTTAATTTTCGAGATATGGCGTTTTTTAGGATTTTAAAAATTTTTCAGAAAACTTAAATTTCGCAAAACTTGAAATTATCATCTCTGTAGTGAGGCTCTAACAAAATAATTCGTTAAAATGAAATTACCAACTCTGGAGTTGTGTACCTTCAAAGGTTGCGAATATTGCCATCAAAAAAGACTGCTCAAATTTTAGTAGTTTTCGAGATGTGACTTTTTTCTGGTTTTCAAAAAAATACCTCTTTTAGAAAACTTAAGGTGAAGTTTCTCAAAATTTGATTTTCCCAACGTTGTAGTTGGGTACTGTAAGAGTACTCTCAGGAGTTGCAAATCTTGCGTCCAAATGCGACTGCTCAATTGCGACTGCTCAATCGCTTTCAGTTTCCCAGATGGGACGATTCTTAGTTCATTTTAAATTTTTCGAAGAACTTATTTAAAACTTCGCAAAATTTTATGGGTCTTCAAAATTTGTTTAAAAAACTTGAAAAAAGCCTTGCAAATTTTTAAATTACGAACCCTGTAATTGGGTGCTGTCAGAGTACATTCGTAGAATTGTTTTTTTTAAGTTGTTGAAAATTCGAAGCACCGGAGGTGCGGTACACGCTAGTTTAATATTAATCCAGTTAAAAACTAAATTGTATCATTCCTGAATTTTAGCTTAAAAGAAAATCTGAGCCAAATGAGGCATTTTAAGGGTTGTTGTGAAAACGTGCGAGACAAAATCAAAACTATTGGTCCGACCATCACTTAGAAACCATGTGATAGGGTCTGTTTTTTTTCACGCAAAAGTAGTTACCTTAAAGTTAACACTTTTTAACCTTAAAGTAGTTTTTTCATCGATTGTGGTATCATATTAAAGTAGATTTAGAAAATTTGTCTCAGTTTGCGAAACGCGGGTGAAATGGAGTTGTTCTTTTACAGAAAGAACTATTTATGAAAATTTTATTTTATAAGAGTGGTTGATTTGAGTTTTTTGACGGTTGTCAAATATCCTAGGAAGTTGAATTTCATCGAATCCTGCCCCCTTCGAAAGCGACAAAAAGCATCTTTCTTTAATTTGAAAAACTAGATATATCTGCCCTGCAATTTTTATGACTCAATATCCATGTTTTCAGTTTTTCTTCGTATTTAAGGTAGGTTTAATTTTTCAATCAACCGAAAAGTTCGTCAATAAACCGAAAACCAAAAAAAACTGTGGAAATAAGCAGAGTTTTCCGCCTTTGATTCAGGATTTTTTTTGTTTATTCTATGATTTTTTTTCGGTTAATTGCTTTATTTCTCATGAAGTAACATGTCATTTCCGGCTTATCGCTACATCTGTTTATTGCTACAGCGGCTTATTGCGCACACATCAGAAGAGAAATGCATTCAAAGCCGCAAGGGATCAATTTGCTTTTCTTTCCTCCCCATTACCAATTGTGAATTGTTACACAACCTGGGGAACTTTCGTTTGCGTGATCCGATGGCTATGTAGCCGTATCCCCTCATTGTCTTTCCAAGAAAATGTCGTCATGAAAAAAAGAATACTGAGTTTCCTGAAATTTGATATATATTAACAAATATTATTTACACTTGCTGATGCATTTTTAAATCATGAAATGAACCGAAAAAGTTATTTATTTCAAACAGCAGTACAATGATAAAAAGCTCGATTTCAGAAATGTTCCAACTCAATGTGACTCGCAGTTTTTTTGAAATACTAAATTTAAACATAATTTGGCTCTATGCTTTCCGATATATTTTATGGAAATTTGCGTCTTTTTGTATTTGGTGCTACTTTTGCTGCATCGAATTGGCAATTTATTAGCATATTTAGCTGCGTTATTTTTGGCTAGTTTTTTGGGATTTTAAGCATCAGTGGTTTGGGCGTGAGACGCAAATTTGCTAGGTCGCAGATTGGAATCCGACACTTAGCCGAGTTTTTGCTAATTTGAGGCTTATTTCTACTTATTTTTTATTTCACTAGATAGAGCTGCTTTTTGGTCGTGTTCTCGCAAGTGTTTGATAAGTGCAGCTTCGCATCTGTTTAATTTTGTTTTTATCTGTCCCAAATAAAGATGCATAGTGGATATTCAAATGTGAGTCCTCAAAATTGGTGCTCGTTTAGAAGTAAAGTCCCGTTATAAACCTTTTTTACTCTTGCGAGCGTAGTGTATTAGTGTGAAGGTTCTTTGTTTCTAACGCAACTCGCAAATGAAAGTGCTCATTTAGTGTGTAAGAAATTGAACTAGCTTTTTTAATGAACCTGAACGACTTCCAGGTTCCTTCCCACTTGATCTGGAGGCAATGCGGTTAAATATTACGCCTAACTATTCAACTTCATTAGCCTCCTTTATAATTTGATCACCAATTTGAATTGTATCTTGTCTTTTTAAATTATTACCAAAAACAATAAATTCAGTTTTATCATGATTGATTTTAAAAGAGTGTTGATTAAAATAGTTCAACATTTAGGTAAAGTTCAACAATTTAGGTCACTAATTGTCTTTGTATGTGTATAGTTAATGATACAACATATGTAAATGTCAGGGGCGGATCTAGGATTTTCTTGAGGGGGGAGGCTGATTTTCTAATTATGTTCGAAATTTTTGTCGACTTTTTTTAGGTCGACCAAACTGATTTTCCGAGCGCTGCCAGAACATTATGAAGACCCTGTTTTGACAATTTTTGCGACGCAGGCAATTGTTTGACAAAAACAGGTCAAAAATTCCGTTTTTGGGCACTTTTTGAAACATTTTGTCCAAAAAATTGCGTTTCTTATCCAGCGCTACTTTTCACATTTGGTATAAATTGACGCTGAAGGCGACTTCGAAACAATTTTTGGGCAGGTCGACCGAAAAAGATGTCAAAATGAAAGCCAAAGGGGGAACCTTTGGTTGGCGAGGGAGTCGAATCCCTTATGGGCGCAAATTCCTTGTGTAAAAATGAATCGAGTGTGTTCCCTTCTTGAAAACTAGTTTTCAATTAAGTTAATCTTCACTTCTGCTCAGGACCAGCTGGAGAAGCTGCTCTACAAATACCAGACTGACTTCCCTGAATTAGTGCGTGTGCACCTGCTCGGACTGAGTGGGATGGGCAGGGCTATCCTGGCAGTGAGAGTGAGTGACAACCCAGATGAAGATGTGGAGTTGGATGAACCGGCTGTGAAATACGTGGCCAATATGCACGGCAATGAAGGTAGCACTTCGAGCATTATTATTTATTGATGTCTATGACGAGCATTGTCATTAATTTTATAATAACATTTTAATGTATTTCCGTTTTAAAAGTAATTCTTTTTGTGATTGGTTAATTTTTTTGTCATGTAATTTTGGATTACGTAAGAAACTTGAAATTTTCCAGAATTTTGTATAGGAAAGTTAGTCAAGAATGGTAATCGAAGTTTTAAAAAAACATTCTAAATTTAAACAATTTTTTTGACATATCAAAATAATTAAATCTCAATATGAACTCTTGTATTGGTACAGTATATTGGTAAAATATGGTCTAATATAAGTACAAGGCTTAGAATGTTTAAAAATTGTGGACAATCGTCAGATGATTTACGTTATGGACAATTTAAATTCAGTGTTTATGAACCAAGTGATTTTTCTCTTATTAGGGTCTTGTGGCGTTTTAAGCGATTTCAATCATAATTATAATTTCTTTCAATTTTTTGTTAAATGGTGTAGGGTAATCGAGTTTCCAGGGGTTTTTAAAATAAATAAAATATGTTATATACTATTTTTGTGTTTTTTTTTCATTGACCTCAGTCACAAGAATAGATAGAAATGATTTCATACATTTGCGTTTTTAAATCTGATTTTCCCGTTTCTTACAGTTGCGATAGCAAGTGGTTTGTAACCGGGTGCTAGACATTTTCCCGTGAACAAATTGTTTAAAGGACTCGAACGGTAGTCGTAAATGCTTCACCAACACAATAATTTGAGCATCATTGCATTTAAAAATTCCCTGTATTCGAAATTAGTTTTTCTTATCAGGGTTCAAGATTTATGATCTCAGATGTATATTTTTTGCAGTTTTTTTTCACTTGCGGGTGCAAGTGTACTTCTAATTGGGAAGTAGTTTTTTTCCCGTTAACAACATTTCTTAATGTCTTGAAAATTCATTTAAAACATTTTTTCAACTCATCGTGGGTAGTAAACATGTTTTTTGGGGACTCGTGATTTCTGTCCTATTTTCAATCGGCTCATTTTTGTTTTTTTAATGAATTTTTTATCTGGTACGCTTTTGCACTTATGCAGCAACCTAAATTTCAAAAGATGGGTTTTATTTGAATTTTCACAGTTAATACTAAAATTGAAAGTTGTTTAGTAGTTAATAGTAATGAACGTAGTGAGTACTCTTATATAGGTCTTGCTGTTTTTTTTTCAGGAAAAAGTCTTAAATTAGCCTGTTTTTTGATTTTTCACGCTCAATTTTGATTTTTCGCGGTTAGACTTTTGATTTTTTTTTGTTCACTTGTTTTGTTAAAAGGAAGGCAGACTGCACTATCGAACAGCAAAAATGTAAAGGTCATGAAAAACTCGATCGACTTCTAATTTCGAAAATGGAAATCAATAATCAGGTTCCCCATCGAAATAAAAGTATTGCTTATTGATCCAGTTCTATAAAATTGGTTTAATTTTATCAAAAAATTGTCAATCATAAATTTTTCTACAAATTCAAAGAGCTTTGAGGCCATCTTCGAAATTAGAAAGTTGAAGGTTTTTCAGAAAACAAGTCAGTTTTTTTCAGTTTCCTTGCGTTCATTACTTTTTTCCAACTATCAGTTGTCTATGTTTTGTAAATTTCTGTTTTGAAGAGTTTTTCAATTTTCTATTTTTTTTCTGCTAGCGTTTTCAGCTGATGTTGTATCAATTTAGCCAACTTTTGTTTTGAAGGCAACATAATTTTTATTATTATTATTTTTTGGAGGGATGGGTCGTAGAAACGTTCAGCTTGAAACTTGATATGGCAACAGTTAATTTTATGCTTAGCAGGGTTCTACTCTATTTTTGTCGCCTTAGTTGCCGCTCGGTTAAACTTTTTCGATACAATTCTAGACTGTTTATGAACAACATCTGAGACAAAGGTGTGAAAGTTTTGAAAGTATAGTTTTTCGACTTTTATCAAGTAATTATTTCAACTTAATTTTTCAAAAAATCGACTTCGTTTCTTTTCCTTTTCACTATCTTGTTATGCAATATTTTTGTAGTACCGCAAGTGTTGCGAAGCTACTATCTAGGATTTTTACTGTAAAAATTCAGCTGGTAATAAAATTCAGCTGGTAATTCGACTCAGTTGCTTTATATAGCGTCATTTGCATGAATTTTTTTCTGAAAAAGGTTTTCATTCAACTATCTATCTATCTATATGTCTATGTATTTATTATCTGTTATATATTTAAATGCGGTCTTAACTATCTCGGCACGTTTAAGCTTTTCAGCGTATTATTTTTGCATGTTCAACGAAAGAGTTTTTTCACGGTTAAGCTATATCGTATATTGCAATGATTAAGAATTTTTTTTTTCGATTTTCCAGCTTGAATTCAGAATTTGTTTAACCGAGCTTAAAATAAGCAGTGAAATGATGGGAAGCTGTCAGGGTTTCCCAAGGAGTTGCGAATTCGGCCTCCAATTATGAATGCCCAAAACGTTTTAGTGTATGAGATGCGACGATTTGGTGATTTTTTCAAAATTTTCTGAAAACTCGAATTACAAAAATTTCATTAAAATTGAAATTTCCAACCCTGTAGTTGGGTGCTATGAGAGTGTTCTCTAGGATTGCGAATCTTTCCTGACAATATGACTGCTCAAATCCTTCTAGTTTTCGAGATTTGACATGTTTTAAGTTTACTTTGTAATTTTTAAGAAAACATAGATTTTAAGAATTCAGAAGATTTGAAATTTGCAACCCTGTAGTAGGGTACTGTGAGGGTACTCTTAGGAGTTCCAACTTGCAAATCTTTCATCCAAGTACGACTGCTCAAATGCTCTTAGTTTTCGGGATATGAGGTTTTTTATGTCTTTTTTTTTAATACAAATTGTTCAAAGATCTTAAAAAACATCACAAAATTTGAAATTTCCATCTCTATGGTGAGTCTTTTTCACGGCACTGCCATGACTTGAGAATTTTGACTCCAAATATGAGTGCTCAAATCTTTGTAATTTTCGAGATATGTGTTTTTTTGTGATTTTTTCGTGTTTTTTGTGATTTTTTCAAAAAAAAAATATTCAGGAAATTTTAAATTTGAAATTACCAGCCCTGTAGTTGGGGGTCAGAACAATCTTAGTAGTTAGGAATCTTTCCTGCAGGTATGGCTGCTCAGATTTCCGCAGTTTTCGAGATATGGCGGTTTTAATGGTTTTTCGAAAAGAAATTTTTCATAAAAAGTTTCTCAAAATTTGAAATTACCAACCCTGTAATTGAGTGCTGTCAGAGTACACTCAAAAGATGCAGATGCTATTTCCAAAATATGTGAAGTTTACCGGAGGTGCGTTATACGTTAGTTTCTCCTGTCGTTTACATGGTATTGAGGTTTTTCTGCGAGATGTCATACGGTTCAATCATTTCTTCGATTTCTTTTTAGCAACCTCTCGCACTCTCGTTTCCCTAGATTCTTAAAGGTTCACTTCGCTTCCAACGGGAAACAGCCACAAGTTTATTCAATACGTTTAACATACCTTAGCAAAAAAGCATTCGACTAATATAGCATTCGACTACACGACAGCTCATTTAGTACAGCTGGTTCATAGGAAAACAATATTAAATCGTCTTAAGTATACGCTCTCCATTCTCGAGAAAATGAAGTTCAGCCATTTCATTACTATCACGATCCTATTAACTTTCTCAAGAAAAAGAAAACCATAAAGCATTTATGTCGGTCGTATTCTTATACATGACAATGAGAGGAGAGATCTCATCAACTTAGAGCGCCTTTTTGCAGAAAATTATTTCAATCAGTTGTAATAAAAATCAATTGTTATATCAGTTGCGCAACGTTTTATTGGGAGTCTATTTTTTAAAACAGAAATCGCATATTTATATATTAAAATTTCGTGTTGGCTATTTCAAATAGTATAAGCTAGGTTTGATCAATTCTTTGGCATTTTTTTGATGTCAAAGCCCATCCATTTTGGTTTTTCTTCGAGAATCAGACTCGTTTCATGATCAATTTGGTTAAAGAAACGTGTACGTAATCAAGATCTAGGCTGTTTAAATCACGTGGTTATTGTTTTTGTCAAATTTCATTTTCAAACCTGCTTCATTTTCCAGTGGTCTTTCGCCCTTTTTGCTTGTTTTTTTTCGAAGATAATTTAAAAAATAGCGTTACAATTAGACAAGGACATTTTGGATTATTCCAAGGGTTTTAATTGGTTTGAAATTTTCCTCACTTCGGATCTTTTAGCATGAAAATAACCCCCGTTTATTATATAGGTAGAAAACAAGGTTCAACATTGTGAAAAGTTGCCGGCTGCTGATGCATGTTATGTATGTATGCTCTCATGCGATGCTCATTACAGTTATAATAATCATTATTTGTTAGTAAGCCAGGCCCCCAGGAATTCGTTTTTTTTTTCGGCTGGAACTTTTACGCAAATAACAGACTACCATCAAATTTGATTAATTTTCCCTGTGTCAAATTTTTCTCCATAATTTGATAGAATTGAAAAAGGGATATGTTGCTCTAGGGAAATGAAGTATTCCTTAATTTCAATTTTGGAAAGATTTTTGACTTTGAGAGAACATGTTCATTTGAATATTCACCAAAGAAAGCTGTAGATTCACGTTTGTTGAGAAAGCTCTTATTTGAAAAATTGCTTTCGTTTTTATTTAGTCTGGTTTTTTGTATCAATTTTCTAGCCCTAGACAAACTCTTCTACGCAAGGAATTGAGACAATAAATTTTTTAATAATGCGTTCAAGTTTTTAAAATGCGGCATCCGAAAAGTTACGTCATATCAGTGAAATTTGCAAGACTTTTGCAACTGTTGCATAATTTTTAGATATCTATTGTTGAACAATTACGTATTTTTGGCTTGTTTATATACCACCGACGTTTAGTTTTTTTTGGCGATTTCAACTTGATTGTATTGTAGTAGATTTATAGTTCGAGTGCAGTCATTCCCATTTGTTTTAATACTTGCTAAAATCAATTAACTCGTTAAGTTTATTTTTCAAGGGGTTTTTCGTGTTCTCCATCAACAAACTGGGTTTCACTTTTTTGGTCATTTTTTTTTTTTCAAAAAAATTCTATCAATATGTGTACGCTCAGATGTGATTTTTTGCTCTCTGATTTTGAAATTAAATTCAATCTAACTAGCTGGAAGACGGTCAAATTTCACTCTCCAATTAAGTAAGGGAGATATCGAATTGATATAAACCTGATTGATTTATAGTTTTCAATTGAACTTAAAAAAATTTCTAGCGGATTAAAAAATTGGCAGTTTTTCTTTCTAATTGATTTGTGTGGAAAATAGTGTCAATCATGAAAAAGGCTTGAAGTTTAAAGAGCTCTAACGTGATATGTTTTAAAAATCAGTAATAAATTCGTTCATTTTTTCCCGTTATCTTGAGTTCATTGACACTGTTTCTACTGACTGTTGGCTATATTTAGACTGAAGTTAAAATTGGCATCTTCAAGCTACGCTCTCAACAAGAGTTCAGCTGGTGGAAAAAACGCAATTGAACTTATAGTTTTAAAAGTGAAGTTTAATATTCATATTTACGAATTTTGATTTAGCGGGATCTCTTAAATTGGGTGAATTATTATACGCTCGCGATTGGCGAGCGTTATCAAATCTGAGTATATTTTTTTCTTTTGGTTTAATAATTAGTTCGGAATATGTATTTCACGCCGGATTCGAGACAGAATAATAAAATTTTGTAACTGGTTTTTCGGAGTTGTCAGTTTTTTTTTTAACTTAGTGGCTTTCGTTTCATTTTATATATTTATAAATACGTTTTCGGTTAACTGATAAATCGTTTTACTGATCTACCACCGGATCAAAGCTTTGTTTTGCCTCTGTTTAAAAAACTTAAAACAAAAAAGATTCTGAATTTTTTTTAAAAGTGCTATCACACTGTTCTAACTATCCTTAACACTATCAAATGCATCTTTGCTTCGATCTCGATGTTAAAGACGCCATTAGAATTACCACTGGTGTTTTTTAAATAATTCTTTCAGCATTGAACTTTTTTCAAAAAGATACGTATATTATATCAAGATCACTTGGCTACAACTCTTAATTTTTTCCTGCTTCCATTGAGGTCATAAGAAAACATTCGGAGCACTGGTTGTCCATGTTTGTTGAAACACTTCTAGTTTTCATCTGTTGTTTGCAGTTGTGGGTCGTGAGCTGATGCTGAGTTTTGTGGAGTACTTGTGTGAGGGATACTACAGCAACTCAACCATCAAACAGTTGGTAGATAGTCACGACATTTGGATTGTGCCCACCATGAACCCAGACGGATTTGCACAGGCGAAGGAGGGCGAGTGCTGCGGAGTTAAAGGTTAAATTTTTAAAAGTTATCCAGAGGCCAACTAACTACTAACACATTATAAAATTTTATTTTTTAAATTCGAAAAGTGGGGCGCGAGCGATTTGGAGAAGAGCCGAAATGTGAACTACATTACGTGTAGCAGTTTTGAAATGCGGAAATTTTATGTGGAATTTTTTTTATGTGCATGGAACGTTATTTTTTTAATTAACCAGCCAGAGGCCGAACCCTGAGGGTAATTATTTAAAGTTAAGTGAGCTATTGACGTACTGGCAAGAGACACATCGCAATGTGCAACTCGCCGGCTATTTAAACCCGCTGTCATATGATTGCTGAGCACCTTCACTACCAAAGCGCCACAATGCATCAGTTTTCCAAGCCCACTTGTCTGTCTCTGGTCTGGTCTATGGCACTTTTCTTAAGGTCTATAATACTTCAGTTTTTTCTTTTAAGAGTAATGAACGTAGTGAAGACTCTTATATAGGTCTTGCTGATTTTTTTTGTTTTTACTTTCAACTTGCTGTATAAGAATTTCAGACACTCATTCAGAGCATCTAGCGTAGATATAGCGCTCTTGTTTCAGAAACCAACTGTTTGGAGTTTGTGTTCGGCCGGGACTGTTTTTTTCTTACCCGGAAGCTTTATTCATGTTTTTGGACCATCATCTGTTTGTTTAATTTTGTCGGCTTTGTTCCTGACTTTTTGAAATTTCATCTTTCTTCTAGCATTCTGTATGCCATTTGTAATGTTTGAATGCTAGAGGTAATTGAATTTCAAGATTTTTTGCCGATTTGTACTTGTTTTGAAAAGTTTTCGATAAGAGTTCATGCTTCTTCGAATCATCTGCCTAGGAATTATTATGCTCGCGATTAGCAAGCGTTATCAAATTGGAGCATTTTTTTCATGTAAATGATTGGTCTAACAGAATCACTGAATCGTTTTTCTCAAATCTGTGTTTTCGTCAACTGACAGGCATAATTTGAATGTCTGATTTTCAAATACCTCTTCGATTTGGTTTTTTTTAATGATGTTGGTTATATATTGAAACTTTTCGGTTGATTTGTTAGCGTAGTGACCTCAATTTGCCTTGTTTGATGAGCTACACTAGTTTCTTATTCTTGTGTGAATTTTATGAGGGGGCGCTGATACATTTTTTTGCGCTTTTAAGTTTTCTATGAAATCAATTTTTTGCGGGTCTACGGGTTTTTGCTCAAGAATTGTCGGCTTTGATACCGCTTCGTAAGCTTTGTTGCAATCATAATTCAATATTCAATTTTCTACTTTGAGATGTCTTTCTGAAAATTTATTTTAATCAAGGCAAATAGAGACAAAGATTGGTTGATTCTAAATAGGTAGATTCAATTTATTCTCGATATTTTTTTTCTTATGTCTCATTTATTGTCATCTAGTTTGACATGTTATGTTTATCTTGTATCGCTTCCGCTCTGTGTCTCAAATTGGGTTAGTATAACCAACAAATTGTCCAATTTAATGATTATTGAAATCCAAAGAGCTTCCAGGTGATATAAAATTGAAAAAAAAAAGAACAAAACTCTGTTTATTGTCGGTTTTCGAATACTTCTGATGATTTTGTCATATTCCATTTTCTTTTCAATTCAAAGAAAATGTTCTTTTCTTTTTATCGAGATGAAGAGTTTTTTCACTCTAAGAAATAGTTGAAAAATAGTTTCATAATCAACGTTTTCCAGGTCGTACGAACAATGCCAATGTAGACCTGAATCGAAATTTCAAAATCATGAGGCAAGGTGACCCGCTCGAGAAAATATCAAATCAGTTCGAGAGCTATTACCAGCCGGAGACGAAAGCGCTGGCCGACTTTATCAGAAACAGACAGTTTGTGTTGTCGGCTAATTTTCACGGGGGAGCTTTGGTTGCAAATTACCCCTACGATGCGGCATACAACGGAGTGAAAATTGGAGATCAGAGTGAGTAGTTGCTGTTTCATATAAATTTATCGAGTTGTTTTCGAATCCTTGCTAATTCACTTCCTTGAGATGCAGAGAAATAGTTCGATAAACTGTATGATGGGCATTTTTTTGAAATTTTTTGTTCTTCGTTTGCGGGTGATGTTTGTAATATTGTCAATATTTTAACTAAAAAATATCAGTCGTCAAATTTGAAAAATAAGGTCCTTTCTAAATAGCTGATGTTTTCGCGTGTTTGACATCTAAAGTTTGACAAGAAATGTTTTTATTTTTTTTGCAGACTACGCTGCCTGTCCGGACGATGCAGTGTTCCGCAGTATCAGTCGACTTTATGCTGACATGAATCCAATCATGCGCCTGGAGAGTCCGCATCTGGATGCCATCTGTGGACATGTAGAGGACTCCTTTGACAGAGGAGTGGTCAATGGAGCCCATTGGTACGAAGTGCTTGGTGAGTTAATTTTGATTCACTGATCTTGTTAAAAAGAGTATCATAGGACAGAAGACTGAATTGTCATGCTTTGTGAGAACTGAAAGACGGCTCTCATCACTGGAAGATGGTCTTCAGAACTGAAAGAACCAACCGGGACTGTCTGTTAAAAGCTTAAATTATATTCAAAGCTAGTTTCTCTGAACTGTTTGACTGACTATCGTGAGTTTCAGACGGAATGCAGGACTACAACTACTTCATGTCGAATGCATTCGAAATCACAGTTGAACTAGGAGTGTGCAAGTATCCCCTCCACAGCAAACTGCAGTACTACTGGGACAGTAATAAACAGTCTCTGTTGCACTACATTCGCCAGGCATCCACAATGGGAATCCGAGGAAGAGTTGTGGATGCTAAGAATTCTTCAGGAGTCAAAGGTCAGCAGGCACAGTACTCTTTTGTTGTTTCAAACTTCTTAAAATATTTCTGACCCTAAATAAAATTTTAAGTAAGTATCATCAAAATAAGCATTTGAACTTTTTAAGATGGAAAATTGCTGAAAAAGTTGCATCATCTTGTTAAGCTAATTATTTTTGAATAAATGATGGTATTTTATGCCAAAATTTTCTCTCAATTATTTCTAAAACTATAGCAGTAAAGAGAAAAGTGTTCTGTTCAGGTGCCGAAATCAGAGTGCGTGAAATTGAGCATGATGTTGTGTCTGTGAAGGGCGGCAGTTTCTTCCGATTGCTGGTGCCTGGAACATACCATGTGATGGCGGTAGCCGAGGGGTGAGTTGAATTCCTTTTAATATCAACAGTTACTATGATAACTTGTAGTTATCCTGATGATTATCTCCTGTTAACTGTGTGTGTTCAGTCTTGGTGAAATGCGTTTCCTCTGCTTACATTGACTTGAAAAAATGAGCTAAGGCTACAGATTATACTTTGTATATATTACTGGTGCATTCAGCTTATCGGTCAGAAATCAAAATAGAGTTTTATTTGCAGTTATTAGGAGTCGATAAACGTAATTTAGACTCTTACAATAGGTAGCGATGATTTTTTTTCGATTTTTTCGACAGGGAAAGTTCTAAATTTTGTTCAGGCTCAAGTGTACTTTTTTGTGAATTGAGTTTTGATTTTTTTTGTAAGTTCAGTTCATTTCCTTTGTTTAAAGGAAGGTAAAATTCACAAGCGAACAATGAAAGTTAAAAGGTCACGAAATTGACTTCTAGTGTCGAAAGTGGTAGTTAATTTGATAAAAACTTGACCTATTGTTACAGTTTTCTCAAATTTGGTTAATTTTATTAAATAATTGCCAATCATAAATTGTTCTAAGAGAGTGAAGGCCATCTATTTTTTTGAAGGGCGAAAGTTAAGATTTTTTCGAAAAAACAAGTCAATATGTTTTTCTTGTTTCTCTGTATTCATTGACTCTTTTCCAACTGTCTGTTGACTAACAATGCTAATACCCAAAACTGTCGAACGATGACAGGATTCAGATCTATGCATCTCAATTCGCGGCTGAGCAGTAAGCAAAAAGTTCCAGGAGTTGAAAAAAAAACTTTTACTAGCTAATCGGTAAAACAAATTCAGTATTACCAAAGACGCGAATATATTATGGATAGTCTGAGTAGTTTGATCAATATTTTTTATCCAGATGAAATAACTCAATTCATATATAATTGATTAGTTTCTTTATGAGTAGTGAACGTAGTGAGTACTCTTATATAGGTCTTGGTGATTTTTTATTTACAGGGAAAAGTCTCAAAATTTGTTCACGCTCAGTTGTGATTTTTCGCGGTTTTAAAAGGAAGGCAAACTCTACTATCGAACAGCAAAGGTGTAAAGGTCACCTTTGCTGTTTGACTTATGATTTGTCGCGGTTTGACTTGTGATTTTTTAAAAGTTCAGTGCATTTCCATTGTTAAAAGGAAGGCAAACTCTACTATCGAACAGCAAAGGTGTTAAGGTCACCTTTGCTGTTTGACTTATGATTTGTCGCGGTTTGACTTGTGATTTTTTAAAAGTTCAGTGCGTTTCCATTGTTACAAGCAAGGCAAACTCTACTATCGAACAGCAAAGGTGTAAAGGTCACAAAAACGTGATCAACTTCCAATTTCGAAAATGGAAATTAATTATCAGATTTCCCAGCGAAACAGAAGTTTTACCTATTGATCTAGTTTTCTCAAATTGGGTTATTTTTAACAAAAAAGTGTCCTTCATAGTTTGGTTAAAAAATTCAAGGAGCTTTAAGGCTATCTATTTTTTCTTCGAAATTTAAAAATTGAAGATTTTTGAAAAAACAAGTCATTTTTGTTAGTTTCCTTGCGTTCATTACTTTTTTCTAACTGGCAGTTGACTATGTTTGGTGGTGTTGACGATTGGAATAGTTACTTTATCAAATAGCCCGTACAAATCAGTGCTTGTGCTCTTAAACCCTTTCTGCTCTTAGAACTTTCTTCTTTTTGTTTCATACGCCAGTTAATTATTGTTGCAAATATTAGATTGTCGATGTTTTTGTCAAACTTGGCCGATGTATTGTGTTAATGAACGAGGTGTTTATTAACTTATTTAGGTCATGTGGTTTTCTTTTTTTTTAACACTAAACATTTTAATTGACTTCTCGGTGTACTTTTGAATTTTCTGAAGTCTGATTTGCTTTTATGTACTTATTTCATATGTCTTCCAAAGGTGAAATGGCGTTGGAGATGTCTCTTTAACAGCAAATCAGAGTCAATCATAAAAATTGTAATAAATTGGAAGGATTATTTGGCGATGTAATTAGTTCTATGAAATTCGAAAGGTTTTCAGCAGTTTTTTTGGTTTCCTTGTTCTGTTACTGTGTGATTCTTGGCGATGTTTAACAAGCGAGATCGCCAGCGGTTTCTTTTATGATCAGTCTACTCTTTCGACGCAAAGCGTCAATTGAACTGCATTTGATATAGCTATACCCGTTTTATTAAAGCGCATTCGGGGCTACCTGAATGGTCCATTCGAAGAACTTGTCTGAATTTCATCCTTCTTCAGTCTAATGATTTTTCAGACCTTATTTAAAATCTAATTCTGCTCGGCTTTATTTAGAGTAATGAACGCAGTGAGTACTATTATATAGGTCTTGATGATTTTTTTTTGTAATTTGTTTTCAGGCGAAGTCTTAAAATTTGGTCACGCTCAATCTATTATATATTTAAATGCGGTCTACACTATCTCGCCACGTTTAAGCTTTTTCGGCGTATTATTTTTGCATGTTTAATTAAAGGATTTTTTCACGTTCAAGCTATATCGTATATAGCAATAGTTAAGATTTTTTTTGTTGATTTTCCACTTCGAATTTAATTTTTATTTCACCGAGTTTAAAATAAGCAGCATAATAGTGGGATGTTGTCAGAATTTCTCAAGGAGTTGCGAATTCGGCTTCCAATTATGAATGCCCAAATCAGTTTAGTATACGAGTTATGACGATTTTTGTGATTTTTTCAAAAATTTTCAGAAAACTCAAATTTCAAGATAATTTTCAAAACTTGAAGTTCCCAAACTTGTAGTTGGGTGCTTTCAGAGTACTCTCAAGGATTGCGAAACTTGCCTCCAAATATAACAGCTTAAATATTTGTAGTTTTCGAGATATAACTTTTTTTGTGATGTTTTCAAAAAATAATGTGATGTTTTTCTTCAATTTTTCAAATTCCTAACCTGTAGTTAGGTGCTGTCAGAGTGCTTTAAGGGGTTGCGAATCTTTCTTCTAAATATGACTGCTCGAATCTTGTAGTCTTCGAGATATATGACGTTTTTGTGATTTTTTCAAAAAAGTTTCAGAAAATTTAAATTAATTTTCTTTTTCGAAATTTGATATTCCTAACCTTGTAGTTGAGTGCTGTCAGGGTACTCTAAGGGGTTGGGTTTAAAACTTGCCTTTTAGTGTGAGTGCTCAAATCCTTGTAGTTTTCGAGATATGAGGTTTTTTCATGATTTTTTTTTCAAAATTTTCAGTTGATCTTTATTTTAAAATTTCGCAAAATTAGAAAAATCCCAACTTGGGTGCTTCCAGGATACTCTCAGGAGTTTTAAATTGGCATCCAAATATGACTACTCAATTATTGTAATTTTCGAGTAATGACGTTTTTAGTGTTTTTATTAGAAAATTTCCGGAAAACGTAAATTTAAAAAGTTTCAGGTAATATGAATTTTCAGCCATGTCGTTGGGTACTGTGAGGGTACTCCCAGGAGTTGCAAATGTTGCGTCCGAATGCGACTGCTTAAATGCTTTTAGTTTTCGAGATATTACTTTTTTTGTGATGTTTTCAAAAAATAATGTGATGTTTTTCTTCAATTTTTCAAATTCCTAACCTGTAGTTAGGTGCTGTCAGAGTGCTTTAAGGGGTTGCGAATCTTTCTTCTAAATATGACTGCTCAAATCTTGTAGTCTTCGAGATATATGACGTTTTTGTGATTTTTTCAAAAAAGTTTCAGAAAATTTAAGTTAATTTTCTTTTTCGAAATTTGATATTCCTAACCTTGTAGTTGAGTGCTGTCAGGGTACTCTAAGGGGTTGGGTTTAAAACTTGCCTTTTAGTGTGAGTGCTCAAATCCTTGTAGTTTTCGAGATATGAGGTTTTTTCATGATTTTTTTTCAAAATTTTCAGTTGATCTTTATTTTAAAATTTCGCAAAATTAGAAAAATCCAAACTTGGGTGCTTCCAGGATACTCTCAGGAGTTTTAAATCGGCATCCAAATATGACTACTCAATTATTGTAGTTTTCGAGTAATGACGTTTTTAGTGTTTTTATTAGAAAATTTCCGGAAAACGTAAATTTAAAAAGTTTCAGGTAATATGAATTTTCAGCCATGTCGTTGGGTACTGTGAGGGTACTCTCAGGAGTTGCAAATGTTGCGTCCGAATGCGACTGCTTAAATGCTTTTAGTTTTCGAGATATTACTTTTTTTGTGATGTTTTCAAAAAATAATGTGATGTTTTTCTTCAATTTTTCAAATTCCTAACCTGTAGTTAGGTGCTGTCAGAGTGCTTTAAGGGGTTGCGAATCTTTCTTCTAAATATGACTGCTCAAATCTTGTAGTCTTCGAGATATATGACGTTTTTGTGATTTTTTCAAAAAAGTTTCAGAAAATTTAAGTTAATTTTCTTTTTCGAAATTTGATATTCCTAACCTTGTAGTTGAGTGCTGTCAGGGTACTCTAAGGGGTTGGGTTTAAAACTTGCCTTTTAGTGTGAGTGCTCAAATCCTTGTAGTTTTCGAGATATGAGGTTTTTTCATGATTTTTTTTTCAAAATTTTCAGTTGATCTTTATTTTAAAATTTCGCAAAATTAGAAAAATCCAAACTTGGGTGCTTCCAGGATACTCTCAGGAGTTTTAAATCGGCATTCAAATATGACTACTCAATTATTGTAATTTTCGAGTAATGACGTTTTTAGTATTTTTATTAGAAAATTTCCGGAAAACGTAAATTTAAAAAGTTTCAGGTAATATGAATTTTCAGCCATGTCGTTGGGTACTGTGAGGGTACTCTCAGGAGTTGCAAATGTTGCGTCCGAATGCGACTGCTTAAATGCTTTTAGTTTTCGAGATATTACTTTTTTTGTGATGTTTTCAAAAAATAATGTGATGTTTTTCTTCAATTTTTCAAATTCCTAACCTGTAGTTAGGTGCTGTCAGAGTGCTTTAAGGGGTTGCGAATCTTTCTTCTAAATATGACTGCTCAAATCTTGTAGTCTTCGAGATATATGACGTTTTTGTGATTTTTTCAAAAAAGTTTCAGAAAATTTAAGTTAATTTTCTTTTTCGAAATTTGATATTCCTAACCTTGTAGTTGAGTGCTGTCAGGGTACTCTAAGGGGTTGGGTTTAAAACTTGCCTTTTAGTGTGAGTGCTCAAATCCTTGTAGTTTTCGAGATATGAGGTTTTTTCATGATTTTTTTTCAAAATTTTCAGTTGATCTTTATTTTAAAATTTCGCAAAATTAGAAAAATCCAAACTTGGGTGCTTCCAGGATACTCTCAGGAGTTTTAAATCGGCATTCAAATATGACTACTCAATTATTGTAATTTTCGAGTAATGACGTTTTTAGTATTTTTATTAGAAAATTTCCGGAAAACGTAAATTTAAAAAGTTTCAGGTAATATGAATTTTCAGCCATGTCGTTGGGTACTGTGAGGGTACTCTCAGGAGTTGCAAATGTTGCGTCCGAATGCGACTGCTTAAATGCTTTTAGTTTTCGAGATATTACTTTTTTTGTGATGTTTTCAAAAAATAATGTGATGTTTTTCTTCAATTTTTCAAATTCCTAACCTGTAGTTAGGTGCTGTCAGAGTGCTTTAAGGGGTTGCGAATCTTTCTTCTAAATATGACTGCTCAAATCTTGTAGTCTTCGAGATATATGACGTTTTTGTGATTTTTTCAAAAAAGTTTCAGAAAATTTAAGTTAATTTTCTTTTTCGAAATTTGATATTCCTAACCTTGTAGTTGAGTGCTGTCAGGGTACTCTAAGGGGTTGGGTTTAAAACTTGCCTTTTAGTGTGAGTGCTCAAATCCTTGTAGTTTTCGAGATATGAGGTTTTTTCATGATTTTTTTTCAAAATTTTCAGTTGATCTTTATTTTAAAATTTCGCAAAATTAGAAAAATCCAAACTTGGGTGCTTCCAGGATACTCTCAGGAGTTTTAAATCGGCATCCAAATATGACTACTCAATTATTGTAATTTTCGAGTAATGACGTTTTTAGTGTTTTTATTAGAAAATTTCCGGAAAACGTAAATTTAAAAAGTTTCAGGTAATATGAATTTTCAGCCATGTCGTTGGGTACTGTGAGGGTACTCTCAGGAGTTGCAAATGTTGCGTCCGAATGCGACTGCTTAAATGCTTTTAGTTTTCGAGATATTACTTTTTTTTGTGATGTTTTCAAAAAATAATGTGATGTTTTTCTTCAATTTTTCAAATTCCTAACCTGTAGTTAGGTGCTGTCAGAGTGCTTTAAGGGGTTGCGAATCTTTCTTCTGAATATGACTGCTCAAATCTTGTAGTCTTCGAGATATATGACGTTTTTGTGATTTTTTCAAAAAATTTTCAGAAAATTTAAATTAATTTTCTTTTTCGAAATTTGATATTCCTAACCTTGTAGTTGAGTGCTGTCAGGGTACTCTAAGGGATTGGGTTTAAAACTTGCCTTTTAGTGTGAGTGCTCAAATCCTTGTAGTTTTCGAGATATGAGGTTTTTTCATGATTTTTTTTCAAAATTTTCAGTTGATCTTTGTTTTAAAATTTCGCAAAATTAGAAAAATCCTAACTAGGGTGCTTCCAGGATACTCTCAGGAGTTTTAAATCGGCATCCAAATATGACTACTCATTTATTGTAATTTTCGAGTAATGACGTTTTTAGTGTTTTTATTAGAAAATTTCCGGAAAACGTAAATTTAAAAAGTTTCAGGTAATATGAATTTTCAGCCATTTCGTTGGGTACTGTGAGGGTACTCTCAGGATTTGCAAATGTTGCGTCCGAATGCGACTGCTTAAATGCTTTTAGTTTCCGAGATGTGACGTTTTTTTTCGATTTTTCAAAAATTTCAAAAGAACTTACAAAAAAATTCACAAAATTTGAAACTCTTAATTTGATGAAGAGACAACTTTATTGTCAGCGTACAACCAGGCGTCGCAATTCTTGCATCTAAATAAGAATGCTCAAAACATTTTATATTTCGAGATCTGACGTTTTTTTATCATTTTTTCAATTTTTTTCGGGAAACTTAAGTTTAAAAAAATTTCACGAAATTTGAAATTCCTAACCCTACTGTAGGGTGCTCTCAGGTTACTTTCAGTGATTGCAAATGTGGCCTCCAGTTTTCTCCAGAGGCCCTTTAAATTTTTGAGATGACGCTTTTATGATTTTTCGAAAATTGCAATTAAAAAAATTTCAAAATTTGAAATTACCAACCTTGTAACTGGATGCTGTCAGAGTACACTAATTTGAAATTCCCAACCCTATAGTAGGGTACTCTCAGGTTACTCTCAGTGGTTGGGATTGTGGCCACCAAATTTCTCCAGAGGTCCTATAAAATTTCCAAATTAACATTTTTCTGGTTTTTCAAAATTGCAATTTAAAAAAGTTTATAAAATTTGAAATTATTAACCCTGTAATTGGGTGCTGTCAGAGTACACTAAAAAGCTGCAGATCTTGTTTCCAATATATGCGGTTTTTTTGTGAGTTGTTAAAAATTCGAAGCACCTGAGTTATGTTTTTCGCTAGTTTCGATTTATCGCGGTTTGAATTTCGATTTTTTGATTCAGTACACTTATTTTGTTAAAAGGCAAAAATTAAGGCAGACTGCTTTATCGAACAGCAAAAATGTAAAGGTCGCGAAAAACGTGATCGACTTCTAATTTTAAAAATTGACTTAAAATCTCTGAATTTCCAGCGGAGTAAAAAATATTACCACTTGGTCCAGTTTTCTCTAAATGGGATATCTTGAAGGAAAAATGCCAATCATAGACAATTCTTGAATTGCGTCTATTTTTTTCTCTGAAACTCGAATACTGAGATTTTTTTTTTTCGAAAAACGAGTTGGCATTTCTCTCTGTTTCCTTGCGTTTATTACTCGTATTCAACTGTCTCTAAAGCATCAGTGGCACAATTGTGTAGTGCAGTCAAGAGGAAAAGGTCATTTGTTTTTCAAATTTCATTTTTTTGTTTCTAGTTTTTGACCCTAAGATATTTCATGGCGTTTTTGCTTGTATGTACGAGGTGCATTTTTGCCTTTGTATATTGAATACTTTTAGTTGCTCATTGAACAATTCAGCTTCCACTTTTTAACTTAACAGTAAACAACAAAAAACCTCCAGAAAAGCTTTAAAAAAGAAATTTTGACATCATTTTGTCACAATTGCTTCTGTCGCTGTTTTCCTTCCGAACTGCCTTGAGGGTAAATTTAAACAACTATCCAAGTGGACAAACTTAAATCCAAGTTCCAGATTAGACAAAGTAAAACCCCTTTTTTTCAAATGTCTTTTCGGAGTCAGTGGATTCAACTACATTCATTGAAAATATCGATAAGAGTTCAAGCGTCTGAACATGCCAACTTTTCCATCTGCAATAAACTCTCCAATGGAGAAAGAAGTTTCTCAAATAACCGATTTGCTAACAAAATTTACATTACAAGGTATTTGGTCGTGAATTCCGCAACAATTTGAAAGTGGATTCCACTCACAAATTGGCTTGTCTCCAGATTCCGCAGTTATGCAAAGACAATTCTGCGCGCCTTTGAAATTTACAATTTGGCCTCGTAGTTTAGAGCCGTATTTTGCTTGGATTTTGAGAGTCTTCAAAAAATGAGGAATTGAATAAGCTTTTAAAAAGGCAGAACAGTCTAGCTGTTTATTTTGTTCTGTAGTGTATTTATTTTAAAGACTCTTTTATCTTCGGTTTCATTGTTGAAACTGACAAAGAAATGTCTCTTTTTTTTGAACATGTGTGGAGACTCTACTTTGTTTCGAGGTACCTGAATAGCCCAGAAGTACAGATAAAAGTAGATGCCAATAAGCAAACAGTTCAAAACTTCTACTTGTATCCCTCGGACAAGCAGTTACAGTACAGAGACAAAGAATACTTTCGGCTTAGTGAACTGTCGTTGGCAGTGGAACAGCCAGGTGAATACAGGGCATCGATGGATCCGGATAGCTTCATTGAGAAATTGCACGAAAAGTGAGTTAGATATAATCTATTTAATCTTTTTAACTTCAAATTGATTGTGTTCACAAGAAAATTCATTTCACTCAAACCATGCTTAGAATCAATAGCGGTTATAGTGGGGGAGAGTTCGGCGAACGCCTTCCCCCTCAGCAGGGTTTCGACCCCCTGTCGACCCAAAGGGTCCACCTTTGTACTTTTTGATATATCCATTTCTGGCTTATTGACCCTAAAATTTTGCTACAGGCGCGTTCGGCGCCAATATATACTAATTTTGAGGGGGTCGCGCCGAAAAGCGCAATTTCTTGGTGAAATATCCAAAAAATTCCTAAAAACGTTTTTTTGGCCTATTTTCTCCAAAATTCACCTGCGGCGCAGAAAATAGTGTCAAATTGTGATTTTCAATTTGATCAACTTAAAAAAAAGATCAAAATTTTTTTTGACTATAAGCCCCCCTCGCTTTGGACCCAGATCCGCCCCTGCTTATAATTGGTTCTTTTATTCTAGCGGTAGAAATGAGTGCACGTGATGATACTTGACAACAGTTAAATTAATTGAAATCGTTTCAGTTTTTGTCAGTATAAAGATGAATAAATTGAAGCAAGTGCAGTTATATATTGCGAACCAATTTTGTTTTTTTTTGTTTTTTCTTCAGTTGTTGGAATTTGTGGAGGTCATTTGATTTCTCAAATTTTTCATCCCCCCACCAGCGAAATTTTACAAGTAAAATTTTGTTCACATTATCGGATTGTTACAAAAATTGGTATGCGGACTAAATAGGCTGTGACAAACATATTTGGTGTTGATACTTAACCTTGTAAGACCACTCGTTACAGGTTATATTGATGCATATGTGCGGTTGGGGGGGGGGGGGGGGGGGGAGGGGGAAGAGCCGAAATGATTACCGTTTCTGATTTTAGATACCCAGAGTTGACATTTATCTACAGCATTGGCAAGTCATTCAAAAAACACGAAATGAACGTGCTGGTCATTTCTGACAATCCATCTTTGCATGAAAAAGGTAGGAAACTTCAAAGGAAGCATCCAAAAAATTACACTCTGTTTTCTAAGTATTCTAATTCAAATTGACAATTTATGCGGAGCGTAACCAATGTTTCTTAGCTCGTTTTACCTTAAAATTGTGTCCGTTATCATGTTTCCCTTTGTTTTTACTTCATCTCAAATTGTTTATACTGCGAGAGTTCGAATGAATTGACTAGAAACAGACGAAATTTGATTCTTATTCGTTAATGGTTTTCCTTTGAAGGAGTATTGAGTAATTAAAACTCTCTTGAAATTGAATTTCAGTATATTTCAAGCAAACCAAATAAGAGCAGAAAGGAAGTCTTGTTTTTTAAGAGTCGATAAATGATCGTGAAGACTTTTATATAAGTCGTGATAATTTTTTTTCTGAAGAAAATCTTTGAAGTTGGTTTGGGCTCAAATTTGATTTTTCAACGTTTGACTTTTGATTTCTGTTCAAGTTCAGTTAATTTCCATTGTTAAGAGGAAAGCAAACTCCACTTTCGATCAGCGAAAGTGTAAAGGTCACAAAAAACCTGATCGACTTCTAATTTCGACAGAGGAATTCAAATTGCAGATTTTGTAGCGGAATAAAAGCTTTACCTATTGATCCATTTTTTCAAATTGATTTAATTTTATAGAATGTTAAATTGTTTTGAAAATTCAAAGAGCTTTAAGCAGCCATCTATACTTTTTTGAAGTTTGAAAGTTAAAATTTAAAAAAAATGTCAGTCTTTTTTCTGTTTCCTTGCGTTTTAGTTAGATACAGATTTTAGTTTTTGTCTTTTTTTGCTCTCAATTTTAAAACCATGAAAGTTATTACTTACATTTTCAACGAATTAAATTGATATATTATTAATTTTTTGGTTTTTGGCGATTAAAGTAATTTATTGTGTGATATATCAAAATTTCGTAGAACTTTTTTGATTTCATCGTAATTAATGATTTGTCACTCCTTCAAAATGATCATATTAGCTTTTTTACATATGCCTAAATAAATACGTCCAATATTTACTTAGTATTGCATCTTTTGAAAATTTTCCAATTAGCAACAAAGATAGCCGGTTACTCTGCAATTAACACAGAGTTTTCCGACCATAGTCATAAAATATACAATTTTTTTATTTCACATTGTCGTTTTTTTTTCTGTGAGATGTGATGAAAAGATCTGAACGAAAAAATAGAACTTAGGGTGAAGTTTTTTTGAATTTTGAAGTTTTTGATTACCAAATTGGCGCTGAAAAAATCCAGCAACTAGCTTTGCCCAAGTAAAACTAAAATTTCACGGCTTAAGCTTCACTGATTAGCTTGAATTTGAGAGAAAAATCAAAAATTTCAAACTAGTGTTTCTCGAGATTTTTTTTCAAAATTTTTAAATGTCGTTCGATTCACGACGTAAAGGGCTTTAATATGATATATCACTCGACCCATTCCGATGATTATTTGTGGTAATAGGATTTTACGTGGATAACAAAAACAAAAAATAAGTAAAAGACCCGAATACAAAGTTTCTAATGGTCGAACAATTACAGTGTTTCCGATGTTTTACCGAATTTTATCTGTTTCAGGGGAACCGGAAATGAAGCTCATCTCAAGTCTCCACGGCAATGAATTGGTAGGGCTGGAAGTGTTGGCCACCTTTGCAGAGTATATTTTAGCGAATTATGGCACAAATAGAGAGGTGACGTGGCTGGTGGATAACACGAGGATACATTTTCTACTTTCTGCTAATCCAGACGGAAGATTGAAGACCCTCACGACGCTAAGTTAGTTCAACTTCGGGCAAGTTGATGTTTATGCGTATCGTATTTTTTTGGTGTTCTGCTTATTCAGTCTCGTTAAAATTGTGTGCTTGATTGAAGTTAGTTTTTATTCGAAAGCATTCAAGAAAAAAAGTTTTGCTTTTGTATTCAATACATCATATTTAAAGTAGGCATTTATCAGAAGCAAGCTCATCAGATCAGCTGTAGAGCATTAACCCATTTTATTGATGGTGTGTGTTTACGCAAGCAATGCTTGTGTTATAGTATGAACTATCTTTTTTTTCCAACCTAAGTCACAAATATTGTTGCGACGCAAATATTGTTGCGATGAAATGTGTTCATTTTGAAAGTGTTCATTTTAATCAATTACCAGATATTAATTACAGTCAATGCTAAGGATTTTAAAACAGACTATTATTGTTCCGACTTTCGTTAAGTAACGAAGTACTTCAGACAAATTTCGACTTCTTAACTAGCAATTTTTGACAAGATTTTTTTTTATCATTCAAGTATTTTTGTCCTGAGCTTAAAATTGATCAGATATTTTACCTGTGCTCATTTTTTGTAAAGTTATGGTGGTATAAAAATTGCCACTTTGGCCAATTGGGGACAATTAACGTGCGATATATTTCGCGCTATTAACGCGTAAGCGGAGATTTAATCCGTCATAGAAATCGTTCCAAATTTGTTGAAGGAAGCTTATTTGCCTGTCATACTTGATTTGTTACTAGGCGCGAAATTTATCACTATGTACTTAATATGGCGTGTGGGGGATGATTTTCCTAGACAATCTCAAATTAAAAAAAAATTCATTTCATTTTTATTAAAAGTAGTTTTTTCATGTTCTTACTGCTCCATGGACTGCTCAATAAACTGATGCATGTTAGTTGGTAACTTTTTTTTCAATTGACTGGTACAGTTAATGCGTCATAATTTGCGTGTGTCACTTAAGAAAATTTCCCAGTTGCGTTATCGGTCATATTTTTGCTTGTGTATGCGAAGTGCAATTTCGCCTCTGTGTAAAACTCTACAACGCGTGGTGTTTTTTTTTGCCTCTCCCATAGTTCAACGCCTGTGATTTTTTGGCGGTAGTGGTTTTTGTGTAAGATATAGACGAAAAACTCGGAATTTGGAGGTCCGTGGATCGATTCGCGTAGTCAGTGAATTTTTTTCATCTTTAAAGCTTGGTTTCTACCCATTTTGTTTTAACAGACTATTATTGATCCGACTTTTGTTAACTAACGGAGTATTTGTGCTCGGAGTGTTTTTTTTCTTCAGACAAATTTCGACTTCTTAACTAGCAATTTTTGACAAGATTTTTTTATCATTCAAGTATTTTTGTCCTGAGCTTAAAATTGATCAGATATTTTACCTGTGCTCTTTTTTTGTAAAGTTATGGTGGTATAAAAATTGCCACTTTGGCCAATTTGGGACAATTAACGTGCGATATATTTCGCGCTATTAACGCGTAAGCGGAGATTTAATCCGTCATAGAAATCGTTCCAAATTGGTTGAAGGAAGCTTTTTTGCCTGTCATACTTGATTTGTTACTAGGCGCGACATTTATCACTTTGTACTTAATATGGCGTGTGGGGGATGATTTTCCTAAACAATCTCAAATTAAAAAAAATCATTTCATTTTTATTAACTTTAATTTTTTCATGTTCTTACTGCTCCATGGACTGCTCAATAAACTGATGCATGTTAGTTGGTAAATTCTTTTTTCAATTGACTGGTACAGTTAATGCGTCATAATTTGCGTGTGTCACTTAAGAAAATTTCCCAGTTGCGTTATCGGTCATATTTTTGCTTGTGTATGCGAAGTGCAATTTCGCCTCTGTGTAGAACTCTACAACGCGCGGTGTTTTTTTTTTGCCTCTCATAGTTCAACGCCTGTAATTTTTTGTCAGTAGCAGTTTTTGTGTAAGATATAGACGAGGAACTCAGAATTTGGAGGTCAGTGGATCGATTCGCATAGTCAGTGAGTTTTTTTCATTTTCTAAGCTTGGTTTCTACCCATTTTGTTTCGGAGCTCTTGCATTTTTTTACTCTAGTTAACTTAGGTGAGCGTAATATAATAGTATGACTATCGTTTTTTTCTAACCTAAGTCGCAAATATTGGCTCCAGCTTTGGTGGCACCTTTACGGCTTTTTGATAGCATGTGCTTTGACTTAGTAATAAGTTAACACAGTTGATGCATTTTTGATTCATCAAATGAACCTAAAAAAAACTATTTATTTCAAACAACATAACAATCATAAAAACTCGATTTCAAAATTTTTTTAAAGTCGATATAAGTGGCAATTTTTTGAAATGCATGTTTTATACATAATGTGGCTTTATGCTTTCCAATTTATTACTTGCAAAGGTGGTGTGTATGCCTTCAGTTTGTTATTTTCCAAATGATTACTTGAAAAATTGTGTCTATTTGTATTTGGCGCCACTTTTGCTGAATTGCACTGGAAATTTATTAGCATATGTAACTGCTTTGTTTATGACTAGTTTTGCCAATTGTTAAGCATTCCTGGCCGAGAGGGCAGGGCGTGGGACTCCAAATCGTGAGTCCGCTGGTTCGATTCCGATACGTAACAAAGTTTTACTAATTCGAGGCATATTTCATATTTCTCTTATTTCTTTTTATAAGCTGCTTTTTGTCGTGTTATCGCTTATGTTTGCGAAGCGCAGCTTTGCCTCTGCGTAATGCTACTTTCCGCTGTTTTTTGATCGCGATTAATATTTTTTCCGGTAAAAGTCTTTAAATTTGTTCAGGCTCAAATTTAACTTTTCGCGGTTTGATTTTTTTCTTTTTCAATTCAGTTCATTTCCTTTGTTAAAAGAAAGGCAACTCCACCGTCGAACAGCGAAAATGTAAACTTCATGGAAAACATGATCAAATTTTAGTTTCCAAAGCGGAATATAATCGAATTTACGAGTGAAATAAAGTTTTACCTATTGATTCAAATTTCTCAAATTGGGTTAATTTTATCGAAAAATTGCCAATGATAAATTGTTCTCGAGGTCGCAGGTTCGATTCCGATACGTAACAAAGTTTTACCTATTCGAGGCATATTTCTAATTTCTCTTATTTGTTTTTATAAGCTACTTTTTTGTCGTGTTATCGCTAATGTTTGCGAAGCGCAGCTTTGCCTCTGTTTAATGCTTCTTTCCGCTGTTATTTGTTCGTTTACGAAGTGCAGTTTCGAGGCAGTGTCCTTTTTGTAAATTAAAATGTCATGAAATACTAAAAATAATTAATGTAATATTTTCAGTTTCGGTTGTTAAAATTCAACCACAATAGTAATTTTCACGGCTTAAATGAAGCATAAATAAGCTAATGTAAGCCTGATCTCTTGCTTTATTTGCTCGAAATTAGACCAGAAATCAAAATTTTTAAACCCGGTTTTCTCGATACTGAGACAGTCTTTTGAAAATGTCTTAATGTCGTTCAAATCACGACTGAAAGGGCTTTAATCTGATATATCATTTGACCCATACTGGTGATTGCTTGTGATACTTGAGTTTGTTTGGAAAACTAAAGAAACTAAAACACACCCGTATACAAAGATCTCACCATTTTTCAAATTGTCGGAACAAAAAAAATTAAAACACTTCAGAAAACAAAGCACCTCCCCATTTTCAATGGTGGGAACAAACAAAATCGACATCCTAAGTTGTAGAATAAACATTCAGGCTGAGAGAAGGTTGGGCACTAGAGGAACCGTTTTCGAATCGTTTACCGACTGCTTTTGATGTTATTGATTTAGAACATTAAAAAAGTTTTGAAAAAAAATTAGAAAAAAAAAACGGTGGCTCACCCTATTTTTTGCTGTTGTATGCAAAGAGCGACACCGTTCCTCCATTCCAGAGTACGATCTGACCAATCAGCCTTCGAAGCTAGTGTGGTCTACGGGGAGGGAGAATGGTAACAGGAGTGACTTGAACCGCAACTTCCTCTACGACGGGACCCCCCAGTCACTGTTGAAACTGCAGCCGGAAACGAGGAATATCATTCAATGGATGCACAATGTCCCATTCATTCTTTCCAGTATGACTAGTTATTTATTTATCCAATATTAACAATTGATAACAAATATACAAAGTACTTAAAGATTTGTTGACATATATGCGTCTATTTTACAATGAACTGACCAATATTGGAGGCATGAGAGGAAGGCAAACTCCACTATCAAACTGCTAAAGTGTAAAGGTCACGAAAAACGTGATCGGCTTCTAATTTCGAAAGTGGAATTTAATTTTCAGATTTCCCAGCGAATTAAAAGTTTTACTTATTGATCTTATTTTCTCAATTTATGTTTATTTTACCAAAAGCGTGTCAATCATAAATTATTGTTGAAATTTAAAGAGCTTAAAAGCCATCTGATTGTCTTTGAAGTTCGAATGCTGCAGTTTTTTCTAAAAGAAATAAAGTTTTTTCTCATTATCTGAAAATAAATCAGTATTTTTCTGTTTCCTCGCGTTCATTGAATTGTTTTAACTGTCTGTTGGCTATGGTTTAAGTTTAAAATGAATATGTAAGTGTTTTCGTTTCTAGTCGCCTACCACGGTGGGACCAAAGTCGTCTGCTACCCTTACGATCACGCCAAGAACACCATTGTTGAGGACATTGATGTGTTCCGATATATATCCCATAATTACGTGGAAACGAATCCGGGGATGAAGGGTGGATACCCTTGTCCGAAGGAGTGGCCCCAAGAAAAGTTCCCTGGGGGTTATCTTTCGGGTGGGGACTGGTATCCGTTTGAAGGGGGAATGCAGGATGTGAATTATAACTACAGTAACTGTCTCGAGTTCAGTATTGAAGTGTCGTGTGAGAAGGTCCCACCGGCTGTTGAGTTGCCGCTACACTGGAACGATAACAGAGAGTCACTGGTCACTTTTCTCAAGATGGTTAGGAGCAGACGACCCCTCATTATATAATTATTTTGATCTATAATCATTGAAGCAAAATGGAGAATTTAGATTAGACTCTAAATTGAATGGATCTACTTAACAATCGCCCTCCATTTGGTATCTACTAAAGAATTGCCACCCCTATAAAAAAAGCAGTAATTAAGCACTAGAGCGCGCGACCAGTCATTTCCGTCCCAGACTTTTCCGCCCCAAAAACCCAGGAATTGACTGTTTTTGGGGCAGAAATGACTGGAGCCGAAGTGACTGGGAGCCCTAGAGCGTTGCATTTAAAATTTGACTTTTGTTGCTGCGATCTGATTGATCGAAAATTCGCCTACTTAATCTACTTAACAATTGACCCCTTTTTTTGGAAGGGTGGGGGGGGCAATTATTATGTAGATTTAATTGAATTATGCTGTGAGGCTTCTTCCCTTTTTAGGCACACATAGGCGTGTCTGGTTTTGTGACCAATTTGGAAGATGGATCTGCAGTGTCCAACTGCACAGTGTCAGTGGCTGAGATTGGACACGACATGCACTGCACAGACCAGGGAGAGTACTGGAGACTGCTAGCTCCTGGAACCACTTACACCTTAACTGTGTCTGCCAAAGGGTAATACAGATCACATCACACCCCTAGTTTTGTTCAATTAGCCCCCGGCCCAGCTCCCACCATTCAACCTGGGGCCTTTTTACGTGGGGAGAGAGATTTCAACTTGAGGAGGCGGATGACACTGGGACCCCTCTAACCGTGATCGAAGATTGAATTTTAGATTTTGAGTCTTTCTCCATAACAAACTTACTGCTATCGTCATAGGATCAAAAAAATTTGACGAAAAAATCGACATTCGATCAAAAGATTAACACACCCCAAAATCTCATACGCTTTAATTTATTTATTTTTGATCGCAACATATATGTCTGAATGAAAGTAGAAGCAAGTTTGTGTAATGGACAAAGAATCAGAAACTAAAGGACAGTTGAGGCATTGTTTTTTTTTTTCGTCCGAGAATTCGAAAAAAATCTGCACAACACTGTAAGTGACAATTGGGTAGTTTTCAAGCAATATACTTCTCGTGCTGACCAAGAAAGCTTAGCGGAGCAAGCGTTGACCACTTTAAAGTTCCTTTTTTTGAGCTGTTCATTTTTTAAAGTTCCTAAATGTCTACTGATTCCAGTTGATACTAGAAACTTGAGGCGCGATAAGTTACAAGAAATGTTTACATTCCATTATGGATTGTGATTCGACGGGTGCAATGAAGATTGAGTCATTACTTACCAGAGCACTATAATGTTAATTTGCTTTTCTAGATTCGTTCCTTACGCCAAGCGAGTGTTCGTATCGGAACCAAATCATGCAGAAGGAATATACAACGCACAACGAGTGGACTTTGTACTGGAAACAGTGGCGAAAAGTGAGGCTAAAAAGAATCCGTGGGTGGAGAAGTTGCATGGTGCCATGAGTGCTGAAGAAATAGAAATCGAAATGGTGTCTTATGAAGATGTGATTGGTTTCTTCAAAGCTCTGGCTATCGTGTTTCCGGAAACCATCAATATGAAATAGTTAGTTTAGCAGATTGAGACCAAACCCTATATTTTTATTTTTAAGAAGGAGATTTGGCTTTTGAAAATTTCTGTAGGAAACTAGGAAATGGAATTAATAAAAGCTAAACTTTTTAAATATCATTAGACCATAACAAAAAGGAAATGGAATTAATAAAAGCTAAACTTTTTAAATATCATTAGACCATAACAAGTAATCCTAACGAAAGCATTAAATTAGGTCGCTTTTTGTGCCGACCAAAATTTATGTACAGTATTGGCTATTTGCCCTTTACATACTTATACAAGTCTATAACAATTGGTTAATTTTAGCCTTGGTTCCGACCTTAATGGACTGCAGTTAATAGTGATGGAGATATCAGCCTCCTCCTCCCCCAACGAGGCAACAAATGTTCCCCACATAGCCGTAACTGGGGGACTCACTGAGACAGACTTGAAGTCTGTGAACACACTAGCTAAGTTCACTCTGGACTTGGTGATGGAGTATGAAAACGGAGTTCCATATGTGCGCAAGGTATACTGAAAGTTTGGGCTACTTGTTTTTTTTTGTTTTTTTAAGAGTCGATGAACGTAGTTCAGATTCTTATATAGGTAGCGATGAATTTTTTCTTTTCTTTTTTTTTTCAGGAAAAAACTTAAAATTTGTTCAGGCTCAAATTCACTTTTTTTGCGGTTCGGCTTTTGATTTTTTTAAATATCAGTTCATTTCTTTTGTTAAAAGGAAGGCAAACTCGACTATCAAATATCAAAGGTGTAAAGGTCACGAAAAATGTGATAGACTTCAAGTTTTAAAAGTGGAATTTAATTTTCGGATTTCCCTGTGAAATCAAAAATTTACTGTTTGATTCAGTTTTCTCAAATTGGGTTAATTTTTATCATAAATGTGCCATTATGAATTGTTCTGAAAATTCAAAGAATTATAAGGGCATTTTTTTTCAATTCGAAAGTTTTTATTCTGTTTACTTGCGTTCATTGACTCTTCCAACTTTCTGTTGGGTTAGTTTTCCGTTATAGTCCTCCCCCACTCAGTATGAAAAAGTATAAAGCATCACAATGAATGTGTTTTAGGGTTTTTCTCTTACCTTCCCCTAAAGTAAATTGTAGACTGAAAACGCTGAAAAACCAAATGGATAACACTCAGAAGGATAAAAAGCTTGAAGTATCGAACTTTATCAACAAAGTTTTAAAGTCTAATAATGAAAACAATCATCGCGAAGCTTAACTTTTGTGTCAGAAAAAAATGTTCTATCAAAAATTATATAACATTTAAAATGGGATCACGGGTGAGCTTATTTCACAAAATGGGATCCACGGAAAAGTTTCAACTTCTTTTCTTATTTGTTTTGCAGCTTTTGACCGGAGCAGTGGTGCACATAGTGCCCTACTTCTACCCCAGCCAGTTGAGAGACTCAGTTTCCTCGCAACAGACGGCCACCGAATCGATCGAGAGTTGTCAGAAATCACCGGGTGCCAATGATATGAACAGGCACAAACTGCAACCAGGTTGGTTAAATGGACAGTTAATAGGAAAGAAATTCGCCACAGCTTCTGAAAATGAATTTAAATAAGGCACTGCCGAATTGAAAATAACATTGCATTTGCATTCAGCGAAAGTAGATCATGTTCTTTACCTAAATTCATCAATTTGAGAGGAGATACTTTTTTCACTCGTCTTTACTCTGCTGGTTTCTCGGCCTTTTTTTCATATTTGACATCTTTTTCTTCAAAATCTGCTGCTAAATCAGTTCAGTTAGCGATGTTTTTTTTTCTGATTTTCGACAGGCTCTGTTTAAGATTAATGAACGTAGTGAAGACTCTTATATAGGTCTTGCTGATTTTTTTGTTTATTTTTTCAGGAAAAAGTCATTTCAGTAAAAAAAAAATATGCACTTAGGTAAATTCACTTTTTTGAGTTCAATTGAAATTAATCTGCTGAAAATGACGTAAATAGCACTCTCCAAATACAAACATGCAAATGGGGCGAAAAAACGTGAACGATTTCTAGTTTCGAAATTGAATATATTTTTTATTATTTCCCAGCGGAATAAAAACTTTACCTGTTGATCCAGTTTTTTTCAAGTTGGCTTCATGTTATCAAAAAAGCGCCTATCATAAGTCGTTCTAGAAGTTGAGAGAGCTCAAAGAGCATCTATTTTTTGTGAAATTCGAAAGTTGAAATTCTTTCAAGAAAGTCAGTGTTTTTTTATGTTTACTTGCGTTCATTACTCTTTTCCAATCTTCGATTGGCTGTTTCTAAAATTTCAGCTGCCACGAACGAGTGAGTCTGGAACTTCCTTCTCCCTTTCAACTTTTATATTTTTGACGTTATCACCGGTTTTCCTTTTTGTTCAATCAGAAATATAGGCCCATCTGATAGTCTCGGAAGGTTCAGGTTAAATGATTTTTGCTTCTCTAGTTTTGATGTTTCATCTGAGGAGTCGGTTGTAACCAGTTTTGCTGGCCTGAACATTCGTTGCTCGCTACATTTTGAACAGGAAGTATGAGTTTACTTAAGCTTAAGTTTTGAAAATCATTGCATCTTTGGTTGAGTCCACTATAGGTCAAGGAAGCATAGAGGTACTTATTTCTCAGCAATTAAGACCGCCGGCTCACTAGTAGACAGAATCAGGCAAGAATGCACGTATTTTTAAGCAGTGAAAAGCTCGTATGTTCATCCTTCCTCTTGTGGATAAAGCGTGTTTAATTTTTGAAAATCATTGCATCTTTGGTTGAGTCCACTATAGGTCAAGGAAGCATAGAGGTACTTATTTTTCAGCAATTAAGACCGCCGGCTCACTAGTAGACAGAATCAGGCAAGAATGCACGTATTTTTAAGCAGTGAAAAGCTCGTATGTTCATCCTTCCTCCTGTGGATAAAGCGTGTTTAATTTTTGAAAATCATTGCATCTTGGTTGAGTCCACTATAGGTCAAGGAAGCATAGAGGTACTTATTTCTCAGCAATTAAGACCGCCGGCTCACTAGTAGACAGAATCAGGCAAGAATGCACGTATTTTTAAGCAGTGAAAAGCTCGTATGTTCATCCTTCCTCTTGTGGATAAAGCGTGTTTAATTTTTGAAAATCCTTGCATTTTGGTTGAGTCCACTATAGGTCAAGGAAGCATAGAGGTACTTATTTCTCAGCAATTAAGACCGCCGGCTCACTAGTAGACAGAATCAGGCAAGAATGCACGTATTTTTAAGCAGTGAAAAGCTCGTATGTTCATCCTTCCTCCTGTGGATAAAGCGTGTTTAATTTTTGAAAATCTTTGCATCTTGGTTGAGTCCACTATAGGCCAAGGAAGCATAGAGGTACTTATTTCTCAGCAATTAAGACCGCCGGCTCACTAGTAGACAGAATCAGGCAAGAACGCACCTATTTTTAAGCAGTGAAAAGCTCGTATGTTCATCCTTCCTCTTGTGGATAAAGCGTGTTTAATTTTTGAAAATCCTTGCATCTTTGGTTGAGTCCACTATAGGTTAAGGAAGCATAGAGGTACTTATTTCTCAGCAATTAAGACCGCCGGCTCACCAGTAGACAGAATCAGGCAAGATTGCACGTATTTTTAAGCAGTGAAAAGCTCGTATGTTCATCCTTCCTCTTGTGGATAAAGCGTGTTTAATTTTTGAAAATCATTGCATCTTTGGTTGAGTCCACTATAGGTCAAGGAAACATAGAGGTACTTATTTCTCAGCAATTAAGACCGCCGGCTCACTAGTAGACAGAATCAGGCAAGAATGGACGTATTTTTAAGCAGTGAAAAGCTCGTATGTTCATCCTTCCTCTTGTGGATAAAGCGTGTTTAATTTTTGAAAATCATTGCATCTTTGGTTGAGTCCACTATAGGTCAAGGAAGCATAGAGGTACTTATTTCTCAGCAATTAAGACTGCCGGCTCACTAGTAGACAGAATCAGGCAAGAATGCACGTATTTTTAAGCAGTGAAAAGCTCGTATGTTCATCCTTCCTCCTGTGGATAAAGCGTGTTTAATTTTTGAAAATCATTGCATCTTGGTTGAGTCCACTTTAGGTCAAGGAAGCATAGAGGTACTTATTTCTCAGCAATTAAGACCGCCGGCTCACTAGTAGACAGAATCAGGCAAGAATGCACGTATTTTTGAGCAGTGAAAAGCTCGTATGTTCATCCTTCCTCTTGTGGATAAAGCGTGTTTAATTTTTGAAAATCATTGCATCTTTGGTTGAGTCCACTATAGGTCAAGGAAACATAGAGGTACTTATTTCTCAGCAATTAAGACCGCCGGCTCACTAGTAGACAGAATCAGGCAAGAATGGACGCATTTTAAGGAGTGAAAAGCTCGTATGTTAATCCTTCCTCTTGTGGATAAAGCGTTTTAACTTTGATCCATAATTTTTGTTCCTTTTCCTTGACTGTTTGGTGGCTCGCCAGGTTGGCCTTCAAATCATCAAAATCCACTAAAGCTGTAAAGTTGGTTCGCCGGGTCAATATTTACTCATGCGAGAGCAAATGTCTTGTAATCGGGAACCAGACTTTTTCCGCAAACAACTTCACTTACAAACCAGTAAGAAGTTGAACTTACTTTATTATTGAAAATTAACAGTTTCCAGGCTCCTCTCTGCTTGATCTAGAGTAATGCGGTTGCCTTGCAATCTAAAACATGGGGTTCGTGAGCTCAATTTTTGTCGGCTTAATTTCGAATGCATGACTTTTTTCTGATTGAAACAAATCTTACTGTAATTAACAGTGTTCTTGTTATGCCAGTTCTACAACTCGATTTTTGATTATTTTTTTTGTTTTTATTACGAAGCGATTTATTACGAAGTAAAAGTACGAAGCGATTTTTACTTATATAGGTTTTAATTTTTTAGTTTTTTTTAAAGAAAAAGTCAGGAAATATTCTAATGGCTATAGAACCGCATGCATACATATCAATGCATTTCTGAATGCACTTGGATATATATTCACGTGTTGAGTTCAATGCAAATTCAATTGATTGAAGTTAAGTTATTGCGCTCTCCAATTGTGACAGCGGGAATGGAGCGAAAAAACGTGAACGATTCTTAGTTTTAACAGTGGATTTTAATTTTAAGATTTCGCAGCGGAATAAAAAATTGACCTATTGATCCATTTGTTTTAAATTTGGTTACTTTTCAACAAAAATGTATCATTAATAGTTTTTTTCTGGAATTTCAAAGAGCCTTAACCTGATAGATTTTTTGTTCGGAATTCGTAAATTCAATCATTTTTTTTTTCGGTTTTTTGTTCGGTTACCATTTTCCAACCTTCTGTTGGCTATGTTATATTTTTCCAATCATGAGTTTTTTGTGTATATTTTTTTTAACTTTCGCGATAAGAAAGGTTGTTGCAATCGATTAAGAGACTTTTTCCCGTAAAGAACTTTGTTCTATCGCGAAGTATTCACACGGAGTGGACGCAATGGTAATCAATATTTTAAAAGCTCAACTGCTGAGTTAGTAACATGGTTAGTAAATGGGTTGCTTGTGTGCCTTGGGTGTACGTTAAGACTTCTGAAGGCTTACATCAACCCCTATGCCCTATAAAAATGCTTATACACTACATCCATAGAGGATTTGGATATGCGTTTGAAAATTGGAAAATGTTGCCTTGAGATGAAGTTCTTCAAGCTGAATTTCTCATTTTGACTGCTGAAGCTTACTGTCACCGTTTTCAACCTCTCGAAAGACAAATTTTCTATTTACCTGAAAACGAGCTTGGTGCTAGAAAATGATAGACTAAAAAGTTCGCTCCCTTTGCAGCTGTTTTCTGATTGCATATTTTGCAACTTTATGAACACACGTATAAGTACTAATATCATGTCAAAAGAATATTTGGGTGTTTTTACATATTCAGCCCAAAACATTTTTCAAGCGCTCAATTTATTAATTAAAGGATTTGATCAAATTAAATTTCAGCTGCGCAGTCTTTTTCAACCTATCAGATTCAAGCCTTATTTGGCTTAGTTCTTGCCTTATTTACTTAGTTCTTACGAAATTTTGCAAAGTAAGTAGAAAAGTTCGAATTTGATATTTTTTTCGCATATTTCGTTTCTGATCTACCTGCCATTTCACGCTTTTAATCTGATTTCCCAATTTAGTTTTTTGTCACTACGCACTATGCCATTAAACATTAATTATTAAGCTCAAAGTTTTACTCTTGTAATATGTTTAGAATCTGCTGCACCACGAGAAGTTGGCATTTTCGAAAACTGGCTCAAGCAACAGCCTCTCGTGTTCACATTGCAAGTCGCCGCTGGATTTCGAGGACTATATGTTCCACCAGGTGAGCTCATATATGTATACTAGTAAGCTTGCGAGCGTAGTGTATAAGCACGAACCTTATTTTTTTCCAACTTAACTCGCAAATAAACGTATTTATTGAAAGTGTTCACTTATTTGGTATCACGATCTGTAGCATTGGAAACTTCATAGCAACTGTTCTCAGCTTGATTTGTGGCTTGTGTTTATGATTTATTAAGCGACCGTGGCTGAGTGGTTAGTGCATGAGACTCATAATCTCTATGTGGCGAAACGAATCCGAGACGTAGCCGAGTTTTTACTCCATCGAGGCTTATTTCTACTATTCCATCTTGCACTTTATAGAGCTGCTTTTTATCGTGTTCTCACTAGTGTTTGCGAAGCGCAGATTCGCCTCTGTATTAAAATTCTTATTTCACCAGTTCATCGTATATTATAGTATAAGAAGCTTCTTCTCAAAATCAGTTGCATAGTTTTTTTCCAAATTCTTTTCCCCATAAATTCTCTCTCACAAATTCAGTATCATAATCCAATACAAATTGACGAGCTTGACAATACAGATTACGACCAATATTAATGAATATTATCAACAAGATTTCTCGTATAACGGCGAAGCCCAGCATGTTCCGGCTGTCTTTTAAGTTCTACGAAGTAGAGTTCACTTTTGAAAAAATAGATAAAATTTCTAAAAATGAAAAACTAAAAAAAAACTTTTTTGAAAAGCATCCATCCCCTCACACGCTATGTAAAATACAAAGTAATTTTTTAGGATATAGCTAAGTATTCAATAGACTAATAGCATGAATCAATTAAATACGGATTAAACCTCACGAAATCGCGAGTTTGAATCCAAGTTTGCCATCTTTAATTCCCCATATTTGTCATTCTTGTAATTCCTCATCTTTAATTTTTCAGCTGAAATCCCTTTTTTGACTTTTTGATCCTTCTAAAGCTATTTTTTGCCGTTGATTTGCAAGTGTTATTGAACGTAATGATGAACGTATTGAGGTCGCTTGGAATGTTTTTTCAGTAGTAAAATTTACAAATTTGATTGCGCCCAAATTTGATTTTAGGCGGTTTGTCTTTTGATTTATTCAATTAAATTCAATTCAATTGTCTTTGCTAAACTGAAGGTTAATTTCGCTATCAGCTTACAAAAACTGAAATGGCTGGGGAAGAGGTGGACAAATCTAGTTTCTAAATGTGAACGAACGTTCTAAATGATAAGTATCAATGAACGTAGGGAAGGCATTGGCACTTATATAGGTCGTGTTGATTCATTTTCAGGAAAAATCTTAAATTTGTTCACGCGATATTTGTTTATTATGGTTTGATTTTTAAGAGTAATGATCGCAGTGAAGACCCTTATAAAGGTTTAGGTGATTTTTTTTGTTTTTTTTTCAGGAAAAAATCTGAAAATTTGTTTACGTTTAGTTTTGATTTTTTCAGTTTATTTTTATTTTGTAATTTTTTTTTCAAGTTCAGTGCATTTCAGTTGTTTAAAGAAATTCGAACAGCAAAAGTTTAAACGTTACGAAAAGCGCGATGGACTTTTTGTTTCAATTATCAGATTTCCAAGCGAAATACAAATTTTACCTTTTGCTCCAGATTTCTCAAGTTGAGTTAATATTATCAAAAAAGCACTAATGAGAAATTGTTCTTGAATTTCAAAGAGCTTAAGGGCATCTATTTTGTCTTTAAAAATCGAAGGTTGAGATTTGAAAATTGATAAAAACAGGTTTTTTTGTTTTGTTTAATTGCATTCATTGACTCTTTTACAATTAAGTTTTAAAAACTTCAAATGTCAGGGTTATATTTTAATTGCTTTCATTTGCGTAAATAAGTTAAAATTATTTCTTATGTGTTTTTTAATAAGCATTTTAGGCTGCTTTTGCAGCCTATCCCGTGGTATTTTCATTGATTTTGCTCGTTTGGTTTTTAATTGGCATCTCTCAATTTTCGACCTCGTTTTTGCGACCTTCTCATTAAAGTACTTATATAAGCTCAATTTAACTCCAATAACAGCGCTACAATATGAAAGTGGAAATCGTGGGGAAAACATGGTCATTTTTTTCTCAATAAATTTTCTCTTTATCCCATTCGCAACTTGATCCTATTTTAAAAATTGATCCCATTTTACAAATTAGTACCATTTCAAAAATTGATCCCATTTTAAACATAGATCCCATTTTAAACATAGATCCCATTTTTTGAAAATTGATCCCATGTTGAAAAATGATCCTAGTTTTCAAACTGATCCCTCTTTTCCTTCAGCTCAGCTTTTTTTCAGTTATCTCTATGCTAAGTTTTAAAATGCAGCAGCGGTACGGAAATGTAATCTAGGTTGACTACTTTTCACGCAGTTTGAGGTTTTTCACACAAATTTCACGGTTTGAATTTTGATTTCTTTTCATGTTAGTTAGATTTAATATGTTAAAAGCACTGAAAGGTACGCTCTTCATCAACGAAATTGGTGATGTAGAGTTATGAAAAAAAAGTTAGCTTAATGAAAAAAGTATAATTAATCATGAAAGAGCCTTGAATCTTAAAGAGCTATAACGTGATAAATTTTTTCTGCATTCAACTTGCGAGAGCAAGTGACTTGTAATCGGGAGCTAGGCTTTTTCGCGTTAACATTTTTTCTTACAGGCGACAGGTCTCGGGTTCGAGTCCCGGTCAGACCTTTTTTAAGAGTCATGTATGTAGTGAATACTCTTATCTAGGTTTTGGTGATTTGTTTTTTTTTTCAGGACAAATTCTCTAATGTTTTTACTGATGATGCATTTATTATACAAGCAAAGCTAGTGTGATAGTACGAACTCTCTTTTTTCCAACCTAAGTTGCAAATATTGTTGCGACGCAATTATTTTTACGACAAAATATGTGAAACTTCGTCACCTTGCAGGAGGGGCCCTTCCCACTTGGTCAAAATGTAAAGCACCCGAATTTGAAACATGTTTTTCTTGAGAAAACCTGATTTGTCAGTCTATCGTTTGTCTACTTATTTTTTGTCGGCTCATCTCAAAGTGAATTTTTTTTTCAGAATATCAATGCTTATCTTAAGTAATTTTAACTACGACTGAAAGTCGTTCTCTGATTTGTAACGTTAACAATTTTGATTTTGTATAATTATTAAGAGTCGGTTAACGTAGTTCAGACTCTTGGATAGGTCGTGATGATTTTTTTCTTTTTTTTGAAGAAAAATGCTCGAATAACAAAAGAAGTGCTTTCATACTTAGAAATGCACATATGAATGCCATAATGTATATATACTTTTTTGAGTGCAATTCAACTTCAAAAAGTTAGGGAAAATTCACTCTTCAATTATTAAAGCTGAAAGGGCGCAAAAAAAACGTGAACGGTTTCTAGTTTCGAGAGTGAAATTTAAATTTTAGGTTTTCCAGTGGAATAAAATTTTTTGCTTATAATCACGTTTTCTCAATTTGGGTTAATTTTATCAAAAAAAGTCCCATTAATAAGTTACTTTTGAAATTCAAAGATCTTTCAGGTATATGTTTTTTTGAATTACGACATTTGATGTTTTTTCAAAAAACAGTTTATTTTTTTTTTGTTTCTTTGCGTTCATTGAAAAGAAACTATCACACTAGCTTTGCATTTATTATACAAGCAAAGCTAGTGTGATAGTACGAACTCTCTTTTTTCCAACCTAAGTTGCAAATATTGTTGCGACGCAATTATTTTTACGACAAAATATGTGAAACTTCGTCACCTTGCAGGAGGGGCCCTTCCCACTTGGTCAAAATGTAAAGCACCCGAATTTGAAACATGTTTTTCTTGAGAAAACCTGATTTGTCAGTCTATCGTTTGTCTACTTATTTTTTGTCGGCTCATCTCAAAGTGAATTTTTTTTCAGAATATCAATGCTTATCTTAAGTAATTTTAACTACGACTGAAAGTCGTTCTCTGATTTGTAACGTTAACAATTTTGATTTTGTATAATTATTAAGAGTCGGTTAACGTAGTTCAGATTCTTGGATAGGTCGTGATGATTTTTTTCTTTTTTTGAAGAAAAATGCTCGAATAACAAAAGAAGTGCTTTCATACTTAGAAATGCACATATGAATGCCATAATGTATAAATACTTTTTTGAGTGCAATTTAACTTCAAAAAGTTAGGGAAAATTTACTCTTCAATTATTAAAGCTGAAAGGGCGCAAAAAAAACGTGAACGGTTTCTAGTTTCGAGAGTGAAATTTAAATTTTAGGTTTCCCAGTGGAAAAAATTTTTTTTGCTCATAATCACGTTTTCTCAATTTGGGTTAATTTTATCAAAAAAAGTCCCATTAATAAATTGCTTTTGAAATTCAAAGATCTTTCAGTTATATGCTTTTTTTTGAATTACGACATTTGATGTTTTTTCAAAAAAACAGTTTACTTTCTTTTGTTTCTCTGCGTTTATTGTCTTTTTTCCAAATGTCAGTTGGCTATGTTTTTTTTCGCTTTATCGGGTCTGGCGTCTGCTTGATGGTTTATAAATTTCTTTTTGCGTCGTTTAAATTTTTCTATGACATCACTTTGATTTTGGCTGAACCAACTGTAGGCCTAGCTGCTGCACAATAAGAAGTTATTAAGGCTTATTTAAATGTGATGATTGTGTTTTTGCTTGTTTTTCTCAAAATGAAATTCATTCGAAATAATTTTATAGAGTTTTTGCTACAATAGCGACAAAGATACTTGATGCGATAAGGTGATGCTAATTTTTTTGAAAGCAGGTTGCTGCGTTCGACCGCACAGCTTTAAAAATCTATATATTTTGCACGTCCGCTCTGCCGAAATAACCATATTTAATAGGGTGCGCTCTGCCGAAATAACCATATTTATAGGGTGCGCTCTGCCGAGAATAAGTTATACGTGCGCTCTGCCGTGAAAACTTACAGGTTTAGTTTTTCTGCCAGTAATTCAAAACTTGCTCATCCAACGACTGTAATGTTTTAATTAGTACATTTAAGTTAGATTTCATCTCATCAAAGCAAAGTTTGATGTGTTTTTACAAAAACGATAAAGTATTTATAAGTGCGCTCTGCCTAAAAAACCATAGTTATAGGTGCGCACTAGTATACATTCGACTTCAGCATATTGTCAGCCACCGCTCGGAAGTATCGTTTATTTTTTTGACAATAATATACTATAATATGTGTGCTCTAATATGTTGTTTAAGATTTACAAAGTTTTTATACTTCTCGTCGGGGCCAAATTTTGCCTTGTTTTAACAGAAAAATGATTTTTTTTAACTGACTGTTTGGCGCACAAGCATTATATTCAACGACTATAACCAGATCTATTGAAAGCAGAACAAGTTTTTTTTATTTATTTTTGCCCCAACTCCTTTTTTGCGCCAAAAATTGACTTTGAAAAAAATAACTACGTTTTTTTCTTTTATTTGAAGGCTAAAATAAAATGAAAAATGCTAAACTAGTATACATTCGAATGCAACATAAGTCTCGTTGATGTGTTTGTCAAACAGATACTATAATATGTGTTTTCTAACTTGTTGTTCAAGATTTACAACGTTTTTAATAAATTTTATCGGGGCCAAAGTTTGCCTTGTTTCATTAGAAAAATGATTTTTTTCTTCGTAACGTATTGTTTGGCACACAGGCGTTATCTTCAAGGCCTAGAACCAGACCTAATGAAAGCAGAACAAGTTTTTTTTCAATTATTTAACCCGCAACTCCTTTTTTGCGCCAAAAAAAATCGGTTTGGAATAAATGACGTTTTTTTGCCAATGACAAAAAACAGTGTCTTGCAACATATTTTATGAAAAAGCAAATATCTATGACGTTGAATAGAAGCACCACAAGCTACGGGTAAGATCGAAAACTCGATCAGGTTTTCAATTTTTGAACAAAACTTACAAGGTTTGGGAGTCAACTCATCAGCCTCTGCGTGTCTATGTTACTGATTTTGATATTCGATAATACTTTTGAAACAAAAATAGGTTAACGCTACCAGAAAAAAAATTAGTATAAAAAATTATCGAAAAATGTAGAAGTGCTAACAAGTTGGCAGAGCGCACGTATAATTAAAAGATGTACCGAGTTAGTAATTTTTTTCAAAATTCAAAAAAGTTCATACCACGAATGGTTCTCGCGATGAAGTTCGTTGTTTTGCTCCCACAAAAATTTTCGTTCAGATAGGTTGGCCCAAATTTATTCTGGAGCTCGAATGCGCTCTGCCGGTTTTAAATTTAGGGTCACGAGTGCGCTCTGCCGAAACAACACCGTCAGAGCACACGCTATAACTTATATATATTTCTTTTTGCTAATTGACAAAGTTGACACTTTGTGTTGACAATTTTGCACCTTTCTGAGTTTGTTTTGATGGTTGCTTGTGTTTTTAGAGATGGATCTATCAACAGAGTCAATGGTGAGAGGGAAGAGAATTCGCCGAGACACTTCAGTCGCCGATTGTCCAAATTCACCTTCGCAAGCTGACGTCTCTACGAACATGATTGTGAGTCTATCTGCATCAGGGATAGATTGTGAAAATTGCGCCTCTCATCAACTCCCCGCAAACACCCTTTCCTATTTGTGTAAACAGTAGATATCGAATGTTCACTCAAGCTGAGCGTAGTGTCTTATTACAGTGTCCACTTTTTTCAAACCTATGTCGCAAATAAAAGTGCTCATGAAACGGAACTCTTGCATTTTTATATCTAGTTTAGTTTTCATGCATAGCATTATATTTTAAAATCTCGCGAAGAGTCATGAACATAGTGAATACTCTCATATAGGTCTTGATGATTTTTGTTTTTTTTTAAGTAAAAGTCATAAAATGAGCTAATAACTACTGCAATGCATTAATACATCTTAATCTATTGATAAATGTCTTCGGGTTTATGCATTTTTTGAGAATTCAAGATCATTTGCTGAAAATTACCAAGTTGCGCTTTCCAATTACGAAAGCGAAAAGGTCACGAAAAACGTGGTCGACTACTTATTTTGAAAGTGGACTTTAATTTCACGATTTCCTATATATATCTTCGATCGCTGTTTCTTCATGAGAACATACGAGTTTTGGACTATCTTTGGCCGATAATCTGCTACAATATTCGTTTTCATTTACTGAGATAACTGAAGATAATTCCGATAATCCGTTTCTGCAGAAAATTGTACTTATCGTCCGTTTTTAAGAGTATTGAACGTAGTGAAGACTCTTATATAGATCTTGGTGATTTTTTTGTTTTTTTTTCCAGGAAAAAGTCTCAATATTCTCTAATAACTACAGATGTGCATTCATACATATTAATGCATTTATAGACGCATTTAGGTATATTGCTTTTTTGGAGTTGGAAATGGCGCTCGTGGAAATACGAACGTGGAAATGGCGCTAAAAACGTGATCGATTTCTAGTTATGATAGTGGAATTTAATTTTTAGATTTCCGGAGGAATAAAAATTTACCCAGTGATCCCCAGTCATCTCAAGTTGGGTTAATGTTATCAGAAAACTGCCAATCACAAATTGCTCTAGAAATTCAAAGAGCTTAAAGAGCATCTATTTTTTTGAAGTTCTAAAGTTGATATTTTTTCAACGAAGTCAGTGTTTTTTTTCTGCTCACTTGCGTTCATTACTCTTTTCCAACTGTCAGTTGGCTATGTTCTTATTCTGGCAACATCTGTTTCGATACTTTTCAGCCCTATGGTTCCTTGACATAACAAACAGTGATCATGCATGTTTAGGATAGCGTGCATACGCAATATGGAATATCCTCGGCGATGGTCGGGATCGGCTGCTGCGGTTCGAGCCCCTCCATCTCCGCACAAGAATACACAGACTTTTCAGTGTACACTAAATGTTTGCTGGCTAATGTGTCCAGCCACGCAGTTGTGCTAATTGCACAGACAGACAGCGGTCGATTTGTAGTGGACGGATTGGAAATATCATGTGCGTGTAATTATTCGAATAACCGGCCCAAATCAAGTGCAGGAAGACATCAAATTTTGTTGACACAGCCCGGTTAGCTTTTTGTTGCTAGATTTAACTTACGAGATTTAAAGTTATCTCTTTAATCTACGTTTTTTCTGACAAGATGGAAAGTTATCATGTAACAATAAATCATGAAACTTATGATTGGGGTTTTTGAAAAATTAAAAAGATGATGGTTTTGTCGAAAAATTGAAATTTTATGACGCCCGCTATCTCTTAAAATTATTTTGTATTGGCACCTTCGAAGCGTAGTGTGATACTACTAGGCTTAAACATAGCAAAAATTTTATTATCCAAGGCCTAATTGTACCTTTTCTTTTTCACTTTTTAGAGCTGCTTTTTTGCGTTGTTTTTTTTTTGCTTTTTCGCTTGTTTTTGTTTGCTTTTTCTCGTTTTTGTGGAATGCAGTCTATAATCATAGTAAACAGTATTTGAATGTCTATGTTGTAGGTAAACAGAACATTTCTGCCTCGTGGAACAACGTGACAGTGACTAAACCAGTATTTGTGAATGCCAGCGCCACCTCGCCCGACGTCGTAACTATCGTGTTCCATAGTGCACACGCACTCGTGGACCCCAAACACCCTTCGGATACCTCAGGCGGGGGTACTAGTTTTATCCAATCAGCAGTCACTGTCCTCATAATCTCAGGTACTTTATCCTGTCTTAATTATTCTGTTCTGAATGAATTATTTAAATCCCTTCTTTTTCAATGGAAGCAATATAAATGGACGCTAAGTTTTACGCTAAAAAGCTGCCTGCGGCTAAGAAAATTTCTAAGAGCCGGAAAAAATCGGCAGTCATAAAAAGCTAAAAATAAATTTCGGAAGCCAGCAGTCCTCAAAAACATATGGAGTATCCCAAAAGCCGGTAATAGCGTGGCGTATATACTTTTTTAAAGCTCATTCGCAATGAATTAGGGTAAAAATACGAAATCAAAGTGTGCAGCTGAATGGGTCAATAATTTCTCTTGACTTCAATCACCATTCAAGTTGATCGTGGCAAAGTAGTATGTTGAGGGTTAGGTGCGTTCAAGAGTGCCGAAAGCGAAAAAGTGTCTCTGAAACTGCCGCAAATGATCCGTTTTTGGATTCAATCAGCTTTTCAACTTTATTGGTTACAATTTTGGATTTGCTCAAGTTTTGGGCAAAATTCTGTTAGTTGCTGTAGTTAGCCTATAAAAACCTTATGATGCTTTGGAGAGTAGTTAGCTGAAGTTTTCTCGCTTTCTTTCGCTATTGCGACTTGGTTTTTACAGCTTTATCCTTTCTGTTTTCCTTGTAAAACATGATAATAGTTTTTGGCATTTCTGAACATTTTTATTTTCTGCAATCTTGTACTTCGGCACTCTTGTACTGACCTGTGTTTGGTCCCACATTTAGCTGGTACGAATCACGCTCCTGACATTTTCGTGATATTTCAATAAATGTATGTGGGCAAATAAGTATGCTATGTTAGAAATCTCAAGTTAATTGCTCATCTGGTTTTTAAATGATCTACTATTATACGTTTACTGATAGTTTTTATGATCTGGTATTTGTGTAATTGAATTTTTTCAGGAATTCATTTAGTAGTAAGTTTTACAAGCGAAGTTTGTAATACATGCACTTGTGTTAAAAATGATTGCTAGCTCAGTTTGTTACTAATGAGTGGACGTACCTTGCATACCTAATACTTACGCAATTAAGTTAAAGTTAATCAAAAAATGCCACTTCTAGTGTTTTTGAAGCTCAAAGTGTTTCACATTTTCAAAGGTGATACGCTTATTACGAGTAATAAACGTAGTGAGGATTCTTATTTAGGTCTTGCTGATTTTTTTGCTTGTTTTTTTTTCAGGAAAAAGTCTTACAATTTGTTCACGCTCAATTTTGGTTTTTCGCGGTTTGACTTGTGGTTTATTTTTAAGTTCAGTGCATTTCCATTGTTAAAAAGAAGTCAAAATCCCTTATCGAACAGCAAAATTGTAAAGGTCAAGAAAAACGTGATCGAATTCTAATTTCGAAAATGGAAATTAATTGTCAGATTTCTGAGCGAAATAAAATTTTTACATATTGATCCAGTTTTCTGAAATTGGGTTAATTTTAAACAAAAAAGTGTCCATGATAAATTGTTCTACAAATTCAACGAGCTTTAAGGCCATCTATTTTTCTTCGAAATTCAAAAGTTGAAAAAGTTTTTGTTTGTTTCATAGCGTTCATTACTCTTTTCCAACTGTCAGTTGGCTTTGTTTTTTTTTCAGATCAGCTTGCTAAAACTGCAACTTCGCCTCTGTGTTAAACAAATGTTATCACTTAATTTATTTTTTTACTGGTATCAGGGGCGCGGATTTATGGGGGCGTCCGCCCCCCCCCCCCCAGGGATTCGGGATTCGACCCAAAGGTTCCCCCCTTTGGTACTTTTTAAGAAATCGATTTTCGGCCTACCGACCCTGAAATTTTTCTAAAGGCGCCGTTGGCGCCAATATATACTAACTTTGAGGGGGGGGGGCGTGCCAAAAAAACGCGAAGCGAAGTTTTTGTCTACATTTTCCAAAAAGTCCCCAAAAACGGTCTATCTACGGTCTTTATAGTGCTTTAGGAGAGCTCGGAAAACCAATTTGGTTGGCCTAAAAAAAAGTTCGTCAAAATTTTCGAAAATTTGGTCTATCTACGGTCTTTTATAGTGCTTTAGGAGAGCTCGGAAAACCAATCTGGTTGACCGAAAAAAAGGTCAATAAAATTTTCGAAAATTTTTTGAAAATCCGCCCCCCCCCTCGAGAAAATCCTAGATCCGCCCCTGACTGGTATAACAATATTCTATATGATACCCATTCTTATGAAGAATTGTTTAATTTGACAGTTTAAGGTAAACGGGTCTGTTTTTGTTTTATATCTGCAGATGATTTTACGTATTTTATTTTCCCAATTCATGAGGAGAGCGTAATTTTGGCTTGTTTTATTCTGGGGAATTCATTTTGTTCCCGGTGTTTAAAGTAACTAATTTGGATCTTGTATTAATGTATGCAATTGTTTTCGATAAAAAATTCTCAAAAGTTTTTCAGCGGCCATTTTTGTCTTGGTGGTTGGACTTGGGTAATTCCTTTACGCTTGCGATTATCAGGTGTTATCAAAAGTGAACTTAGAGTTACCTAATCCTTTAGGCAACTTGTCTAACACAATCAAAGAATCTATTCGACTGACATACCTAAAGTGTTTTTGCTTTTTAAATCTCTTAAATTTGTTGCTTATGCTTTTCCAAACTTACCAACTCCGATTTTCTAAAATTTCTGTTTCTATTTTTCTGCTCTTAAGGTTTATTCGACTTTTCTGGTTTCAACTTATGTCATTTTGGCTTAGTCCACTTATATTGCATCACTTGAAATGCTGAACAGATTTTTTCAATATAATCTGTATTTTTGTGAGTGTGTTTACTTCGCGGGGGCCTAAATACATCTTGTTTCAAAAAGCTTTAAACCAAATTTTTTGCGAATATTTTTTTTTCTGGTTGGTCGGTCGTCTTTGTTCTTTCGGGTGAGTTACCGCTCGGCAAGTTTTGTCTCAATGAGTTACCGCTCGGCAAGTTTTGTCTCAAGTTTGTCTCAAATGGAGTTCAATTGAAACATTTTTCAAGTTCTTTCTGTGGCTTGATGGCCTTCATTTAATTTTGCAAATGTATATTTGTGTTGCATTACAAGTGGTGACAAGCTCTGCTTCACCTCTGTGTTGCAAGTATACTAAACTACCATCTTCTGGTATGCTACGCTTTTCAATATTGGAAGTGAAAATTACGGGTAAATCGAAAACTGTTTTTAAGTTTCAAAAGTGAGTTTAATTTTTCAGCGTCGTAGGAGGTTTCAGAAACAAAAAACAGACCAGAATTGGCGTTTAGGGGTACTTTTTGTGTTTTTTCACGAAAATTTTTGTTTTTTGACTCGCGCTCCCACCTCAAATTTAGTGTAATTTTTTGTACTTTTGTTCAGTAAATATTTTCCGGCTATCTGGTGTCTATGATTTGTTTCTTTGTTTGTCGTTATTGTTCGGCATTTGAAACAATTTTAAGTGTCTATGTAATTATTCACTTTTAGATTTGGTTCTTATTGAGTCTCAAAGTTTGTTCAAGCCTCCTTTTTAAATTTTTAAGAGTCGATCGTAGTTCAGACTCTTCTATAGGTCGCGATGATTTTCGTTTTTTTTTCTCAGGAAAAGTATTTTAAATTTGATTTTTGATCAAACGCAAGTTTAAAATTGGGAGCTACGTTTTCGCGGTTTCATTTTCGATTTCTTTTTAAGTTTAGTTCATTTGTTTTCTTAAAAGGAAGGCAAACTCCCTTATTGAACGGCAAAAGTGTTAAGCTCACTAAAAACGTGATCGACTTCTCGTTTCGAAAGTGGAATGTAATTTTCAGATTTCCATGAAAATAAAAAGTTTATTTATTGATCCAGTTTCTTCAAGTTGTTTTATGTTTATCAAAAATGTAATAAATTGTCTAAAAATTGAAAGAGATTCGAGGACATTTCTTTTTTTGAAATTTGAGGTTTTTCAAAAAACAAGTCGGTATTTTTTTTCAGTTTACGTGCGTTCTTTGACACTTTACCAACTGTCTGTTGGCTATATTTTTTCTATTTCTTTGGTTTGGTTTTCGATTTCTTTTGAATAATGAATGGAAAAATTAACTTTTGATCCCGTTTGATGAAACTTAACGTAATGATGATAATTAGGTCGTGATGATTTTTTTGTTTTTTTTTTCAGGACAAAAGTCTTAAAATATTGTTTAGGCTCAAATTCGATGTTCCGCGGTTTGACTTCTGATTTTTTTTTAAAGTTCAGGCTATTTCCTTAAAGGCTAATGAAGGGTAACTCCACTACATGGTTGTATGGGGAAAAGTGCCTAGTCGAGTATTTGTATGGTAGAAGTTTCGAAGTGAGCACCATAGGCATCAAATGCCTTTGATTTGAATTAACATAATTTACCAACTATCATACACGCTAGTAGTAATAAGATACTAAATACATCCTTTTGTAGTTTACATTAGCCTGTGGGGGATAAACTGAAGAAAAATTAACATGCAAAAAAAATGTTTGTCGAAAATTTCATCAGTTTTTCAACCAGAAAACAGTTTAATTGGCAGGAAATTGCATTCGGATCATTCAAAACCTCGCCTCGACCTGATATACGAGCAGTCTTGTGTAACCTTCAAGTGTTGCGAAATAACAACTCTTTGTTGTGAAAGTCGTCAAAATTTTTTCAGATTTATTCATTCAATTTTTATATTTTTAGGTGTTGTCATTTTACTTCTAATTGCGACCATTGGATTAGCCAGTCGTGTTCTCCGAGGCCCAGCCAATTTTCAAAACAATTGTTCCAAATCAAACAGAAGAAGTTGCTGTAAACGTAACAAAATATCTCACTATTCCAGAAGTGTAAATCCTAATAACAGTTTAGAAAACAACATTTCGAGAACAGGTCTGAGCATGGGGTTGTCAAATAATGTGGACGATTCATCAGAATTGGATGATGACGAGGAATGGGTTTTGTACGGCAAGAGAATTGACCGGTCTTCAGCAGCTAAAGTTGGAAATGATTTCGATCTGAAAGCGAGCAAAAAATTGCTCAAAACCGAGGCTGCTAGAACTTCAGACGCGTGAAAAATAATTCATGTCAGGTTGAGAAATGGTTCCAAAAATGGTTTTGCATAATAAAGTCTTATTAAATAACCCAAGAAGAATTTTTCTGATCTTTGAAATGTTCATGTCTTTGTGACCTTTGAAGTGTTTAATGGTATAGGATACTTTGTGATTAAGATAAAACGTGGATCTGCGTTTTTTCAGAAATTTTTTTTTGTAACTGTTAGGTCGTTTAGAGCTCATTTTGATTTTAAAAACAGAAATTAAGCTGAGCTTTTAAGTAAAATTTTTTAAAAAAGTGAAAATTTATCGGCATTCAAAGTTCAAATTCAGACTTCATTTTTCAGTGACATGACTTAGGTTTGATTTCTTTGTTAAGTTTGTTTCATTTATCTTATATTTCATTATTTGTACATATTTGTCGATCTAGTCTTGTACTATTTTGTATATTAAATTTCGTCAATTTAAATTTCAGTTCGTATTTTTAATTTTCAAAAGATTATTTTAATTTGTGTAAAATCCGTATTTTTGGCTTAACTGTAATTATACTAGATTGAGCAAATTTAGAGTTCCATAACTCTTCCCTCTAAATCACACATTTATTATAATTTGTGTCACTTAATCTGTCGAAGGCTCGATAAAAAACTGTTAAATTATGTCTAGAGTGGTCCCAGCTTGCATCGATCTTGTTTCAACAGAGCTTCGCCGATTTAAAGTATCCGGACAAAACGCATAAAACTTGAAATTTAAAACGCGTTTTTCTCAAATAGGGTTGATTTTCGACAAAAAGTGACGAAGACAAGACTTGCTCGAATTTTAGCTGAATTCAAATAATGGAATTTGCAAAACTCGGGACCAAAATTTTACCGAAAATTGAATCCTTTAGTTTTCTTAGTTACTCAAAAATTAAGCCAAAATTACTGACAAAAGTACATCAAAAACAGCCTCTTACGTAGCCCAAAAAAAATTGAGAAGAGTATAATCTCCAACAAAATAATCAAAATGTTTAAAAACTTTTCAACTACGAAATTTCATATAGTAAAATGACATTTTAAGCTATCAAACAAAAAAAACTTGTTTATAAAACATTTTGGAGATAAAACACTTCATAAACTTATTTGGCTACGTACGAGACTTACTTTTTTGAAGTTTTGTCAGTAATTAACCTAGTAATTTAAGCTTAATTTTAGATTGACCAAAAAAGCTAAAGAATACGTTTTTGGATAAATATTTAGTCGAGAATTTTGCAAAATATATTGCATCATAATAATTTGGCTCAATTCTATGATCAAGGTTTGTCGTCATCTTTCTTTTTGTCTAAAATTAACAGTATTTCAAAAACCGCGTTGCATTGATACTATGTAATTGGTATTACACCATCTTTTAAAAGTGCAGCGAAGTAGAGCAGTAACGCACACAAGTAGTTCGCTTTTTGGGAGCTGGTTTCTGGTTTATCAATTATTTGAATTGATTTTCGTGTTTTGCTGACTTTTTGAGTCATTGCGTTCGAAGTGCAGCTTCACACCTAAATCTAATTTTTAAAAGTCGTCAGCGCGAACATTTTTTTGAAATAAAGTGAATCAATCGTAGAGACTCTGAACCCTTTGGCGGCGTTCTCTAAACAATCTTCTAGCAGAAAATAATTTTTGCATAAACTGTTGATGAAATCAAATAACAAACGAAAAAAATAAAGCAAAAGAACGTGTGGTTTCTTAGCTTAAAAAAGCTTTTGCACTTAAGAAGCTGAACGCAATTTTTGTGTCGTTATTTACAGGTGACTTTCCAAGTGCAAAACAACAATGATTTTCCTTTATGTAGTTTTTTGTGATTTGATTTCATTGTTGGTTTTGCGGGAAAAAGTCATATTCACGCTCAAATGGGATTTTTTGTTAAGTGAAGGCAAACTCCAATATTGAAGCAAAATTGAACAGATCACGAAAACGTTATTGACTTCTAATTTCAAATTGAACAGACTTAAAATTTATCAAATTCGAGTGAAATAAAAGATTCAACCATTCAGCCATTTTTTAAGTAGCATAATTTCACAAAAAAGGTGCCAATCATAAACCGATTTGAAATTTGAAAATTTTTAACTTCGTATAAGTTTTGTTTTGAAACTTAAAAAAAATGTTGACTAGTTTGCAATTATTAATTTTTTAAGTTTCCTTGTTCTTTTGCAGTTTTCCAACTGTCTGTTGGCTATGCTTCGAACATACAGTTTCTATTATCAGTTAATGCTACAAAGTCATATAAACTTGCAGTACAAATGATTCACTTTTTTGTATTGAACCTCACCGAGACAGGACCCAACAATGTGTCAAGAGCCAAAAAAAGCACTTAAGCCTGTTACAATAACACATTACATCACGCTTTATCATTTTTTGGCCAAATTAGCTGTTCTCAATTCTCGTTAACTTAACACAAAAATATCAAATTTCTTATGTTTTGAGCTCTAGACAAAAATATATTTCAGATAAATAAAAAAAAGACAAAAACCTTAAGTTAGAATGTCAAAGCTATTAAGAGGATTCAAAAGTTTTGACTACTTAGTTCTCAAATTGCTGTTTAGGTGTTTAGTTTATCTCTTACATTTTGTAAGAAATTGGCTGAATTAAATTTATAGGTCTGAACTAAGTTGATCTGTAACTGCTTGATGAAAATATTATGCATTCTATGGGAAATCCTTTACGCTCAAAAGACCATAGGTGCAAAAATTTTCTTAATTCCGTCAATTTTGGACAGTTCAAAAAAATAATTTGGTGATTAAAAAGTTTAATAACGGGTGATAAAGTAGGATGTGTGGTGATTAAAGAATAATAAAGATGTTGGAATTTAAATTGAACTTGTGGCCTCTTCAGGAATGTTCCCACATTCTTAACATTAAACAAATTAACACCAAACAGTTTCACTACCTTTTTTTTGTCACCGTTGCAAATTATTGTCACTACAATTTAAAGCTTCTAAGCTTCTACAGTTTAATTCCGTCTTACTTCAAAATGAAAAGAAAGAGGTTTTCACAGGGGATTGCAGTGAGCATCAAAGAATAATGCGGGAAAATTTTTGGCTTTTTAAAGCCAGACAAACAGGATCAAATCAATTCGCGTAAGTTTTGAACAGAAATGATATTGCCAATCAGTCGGATTGTTAAATGATGCAAACCAAACTTAAGCATTTTTTAATGGACTTCGAAGACCCCCAATTATTCAAACGTTCTGTGAATAAAAGTGGAATAATTTTCCATCCAAACATTTTGAGCCAGGGAAAAATTCATAAAAAAAGTTCCACAAATCCAAAAAGCTAAAAATCCTGCATTTTTAGAATTGTTTTCGAGCTTAAATCTACAAACCGATTGCCTTGTTCAGTTTTTTTTTCATTTTCTTTGCTCATAAACGCAAAGTCAAAGAGTTAGCGAGCTACTAGTCCCAATGTAGCATCCTTAAAAAAGTCCTGGAGTTACATTGCTAGTGCACGAGTCAAGCTTGCGTTTTTAGGCTAAAATTACTGGGTCAATTACTGACAAAATTACATCAAAGTGACCCTCATACGTAACCGAACAAAATTTGAGAAGAGTATTATCTCCAAAAAAATGAGCAAAATGCTCAAAAACTTTTCAACTACGGAATTTCATATAGTAAAATGAAATTTCAAGCTATCAAACAAAAAATAGTTGTTTATAAAACATTTTGGAGAGAAAACACTTTATAAACTTGTTTGGCTATGTACGAGACTTACTTATTTGAAGTTTGTCAGTAATTAACTTAGTAATTTAAGCCTATTTTTAGATTGACTAAAAAAGCTCTAAAGAATACGTTTTTGGATAAACATTTTGCATCATTATAGTTTTGCTAAATTCTATGATTAAGATTTGTCGTCATCTTTTTTTTGTCTAAAATTAACACTATTTCAAAAACCGCGTTGCCTTGATACTGGTTAATTGGTATAACAGCATCTTTTGAAAGTACAGCGAAGTAGAGCAGTAACGCACAGAAGTTATTCGCTTTTGGGGATCTCGTTTCTTGTTTAATTATTTGAGTTAATTTTTGTTTTTTGCTGACTTTTTGAGTTCTTGCGTACGAAGTGCAGCATCACACTTAAATCTAGTTTTTAAAAGGGTCAGCGCGAACTTTTTTGACTTAAAGTGAATCAATCGTAGAGATTCTTAATTATTTGACGGTGGATTCTAAACAATCTTTTTGCAGAAAATAGTTTTTGCATAAGCTGTTGATGAAATCAAATAACAAACGAAAAAATTTAAGCAAACTCAGCTTGAAAAATCTATTGCAATCAAGAAACTGAACGCGAAAAACTTTGTGCTCGTTATTTACAGGTGATTTTTCAAGTGCAAAACAACAATGGTTTTCACTTGTAGTTTTTGTGATTTGATTTCATTGTTGAATTTCAGGAACAAGACTTATTCACGCTCAAATTTGATGTGCGCGGTTTGACTTGTGGTTTTCAGCTCACTTCGTCTATTTTGTTAAATGAAGGCAAACTCCAAAATTGAAGCGAAAAAAAAGATTTAAACATTGATCTATTTTTGTTGCTAGCGTGATTTCACGAAAAAAGTGCCAATCATAAACCGATTTGAAATTTGAAAAACTTTAAGGAAAGTAGTTTATGTTGGATTCAAACCGTCCGGGGGGGGGGGGGGGGGGGGGGGTGAAGACCCCCATGTATTAACATAGGCTATAGAGTATCCAGTGTTCACCTTATGTATTAACATAGGCTATAGATTTCCCAATGTTTTAAGATAGGGAATAGGTTTCCCAATGTATTAAGATAGTAAGATTCAGATGGTAAGTTTCAGAAAAATTTTTGGCGCCCAAATTTTTTGAGTTCGATTTTGCCGATACTTGCGTTTCTTACCTAACTCCTACGATTTGTGATATGTAAGGGCTATTTTGTCTTACAAAAATTCGTTATGTAAGTTTCAGAAGGTAAATTTTAGAAAATTTTTAGAAAATTTTACATGTTTTACTTGCAAATACATTTTTATCTTTAAAAAAAAACATTTTTATATTAAAAAAATCGAAAAAAAAATTGGATGGTAAGTTTCGACAAAAACTAAGATTTAGAGTATGGGATCATAAAGTAATAAATCACAAAAAAACTTTCTCGAAAGAATCTTTTAAATTCTTATTTCATTTTATTTATATTCCCTCAGGTAATCTGGGGAGAACTGTCAAGAGTGGATTATCTTTGAGAGGTTAATT